CACAGGGTCCGACTCACCGGCAGCAGCGACACCAGTGTAATTATACACGCTCCAGTCCGATCTCCCAGTAATTATTCTGGAATAAAAGCCTGCCTATTTCTGTAAGACCTTATGTCACTTGGAAAGCTGTTATAAATTCAGCTGGAAAAAGGGACCCTTATTCTGGGATAAGTGTGGTTAGTGGTTAACTGGGAGCGGGGCTATTCCTGGCGTTGCCATCGACCTTCCCGGTGACGCCAGGGTAAGTCACTTCACCTCAGCGTGTGTCACCTTCTCCTGCTGCAAACTGGGAATTACAAACAGGAGCTTTCGCAGRCAGCGTTTTGGGAAGCTCCATGACACTGGAAAAAAGGTGTCACGGGGTGCCAGGCAGTCATTTAGTAGGACYTGGTGCTTTTTTACCCACCTTGGAGGCATCTGGATCAACCCGTAGGCTGTGGAAATGAGGGACAAGCGTTGGGGACCGGCTGAGCCGCGTGAGCCTGGGCTGTTGGCGTGTTACTGGGAATACTGTGTTTTCCTCTCRGTTTTTAAAAATAGTCTATTCTGTTCCAAGTTGTAGACCACAGCCCTCGCTGGGGCATTGAAATGTCTGGGCTGCTGTTTTCTCGAGCCAGCACCTTCCAGTGTGCAGGGTCGGGATGCAGTGCCAGCATCCATCCCCTCAGCTGCTGGGTCCAGCAAAGAGGTGGGGTCCTGCCTTGGGCTGGCAGCATTGTCCCTCTGGTCCTCATGGACTGGAGGGAAAGGGAAATCTCCTGGTTCACTCTCCTGCCTGAAGTATCCCTGCCTGRTTCAATAGCTGCTTCTGCAAGCCCTAAGGGCCTCGGGGACTTTTGCTTCTCAGCAGCTTCTTGTGCAGCCTCAGAAAGAGCTTTTGGCTCAGCATCAYGCAAGCACACGCGATCCGAGCTGGAGATGCAGCTCGTTCCCAGCACATGGCATTAAATCCGTGCTAGAGACGGGGAGAATCGTTTCRGAGGGTTTTATCATTTGTACAGACAGTGCAGGCTGGCTCACAGCCAGAATTGCTCCGTTTGCCAAAGCGGGTGCTGCCCACGGAGCAGCAGGACCAAGGTGCYGATGCCAAGAGGTGAAGGCAGAGCCTGCCCTGGCGCGTTCCCACGGCCTCCGTCCCTGCGCAAGCACCGGAGTGGGGCTCACTGCCGCTCRGAATTGGGCTGGAGCCAAGGAGGCAGAGGGGAAAAAGCCTTTTACAGTCCATTAGTGCTCCCCAGAGCCGTTCAGCCCCTCTCGTCGTAAAAGTGGTGGAAGCCACAGAAACATTACGGCTGGTCTGCAGAAGATGCTGGTCTGCAGAAGATGCCAGCCCACCTCCTGGCTCCATGTCCCTTCCCAGGGGCTTTGCCAAAGCTGCTGGCCCTCACGGCAGCTCCGGCTGCTGGAATTCCCTCTGGGAACAAGCTGGCAAAGGCTGGTCCCCTGTCCATCCCGAGCTCCCCCCAGGCAAAATGTACATGGGAAGGTTCCAAGCGCAAATGTGTGTGTGCTAATGGGAACTGAATTGCCTCTTGCCCCKAAGCCTTGCAGCTTGAGGAAAACAAGGCAGGGGCTAGGAATGACCTCATATCGCCTCCCAGGGAATGTTTTGCCAGATGAAGGGGGGAGAGGCAGCATCAAGACAGCACAATGTATGTATCTCTCTCCCTGTGTAAACATCTCTGTAGCTGCAGAAACCTCTTAAAACCCCGAATGAGAGGAGAACAGCTGCTTTGATCTGTGGATGTGGTTGTTGTTTTCTGAGTGCGGATCCGTTCTTTTTTTAATTTTGCTTCAAATTAAAAAAATGCCTGTTGTGATCTTTTGCTTTTATTTCTTGGCGAGGGACCGGAGCGCGGTGCAGTAAATTTTCATGACTCCCCATGTAACCGTTTCAGCATGGCTGACAATTCCTCGCCGGCTCTTCAGCGCCACAGCACAATGGGCCGAATCTTCTGGCCCTACATGAAGCCAAAGCAAATGGATTTTGCCCAGAAGTGCACAACGGGGAGTGGAGGCAGCGGGGTGGAGAGTCCTGCCACCTCCTTCCCTGCCACACACACACACACACACACACACACACACACACAAGGCTGGGGCTGGCAGAATTGTCCCAATGCCTGTCCCAATGCCTGTCCCAATGCATGTGAAGGGTTTTGGAGATGGCTCCTGGGCAGGGATCTGTGCCAGTCTCGCATAGCAGCTTCGGGAGCTGGTGAGAAGCCATTGGGCCAAAGAGCTGGGCTGTCCTGCAGGTGATTTGAGTGTGAATCACGGCACTCCCTCCAGACTCCCTGTGTRATGTCAGGAATCCCCACCTGCCTGACTTTCCCCATGGGGGACATCCCTGTGCTTGGAGGAGCACCACAGCATGCACAGCCCTGGCATCTCTATCACCCCTTTGGCCAGGCAGTGTGCTTTGGGAAGAAAGCATGATCATATAGCTTCTTTGGGATTTCCTGGACATCAGCATTTCACTCCAACCCCACTGCTTTCCTGTGGTACTTTGCAATCCCGTTGGAGGAGTGAGACATGGGTCAACCCTGTGGCTCCTGTGGCATGAATGATACCTTCAAAAGCAAGACCCGTCCCCAGCAGTGCAAGGCACTGGTTTAACTGGGAACACTTGGCCAGAAACCTGTCCCTGCTGAGGCAGTCTGGGCACGAGAGAGGAGTTTGTTCGTTCCCTGGTGCCGTCACGCGGCCGCTCGGTGTTTTGGCGTTTTAATTACACACGGTGCTGTGTATTTAAGGCTGGTTTATGGGTGTTTATACTAATGCGTAAACCTGCAATTTAGAAGCTCAGTTATAAATCAACATTGCTGAAGGTCTTGTCCCTCGTGCCGTGAGATCGGTCTCCAGATTTAGAAGATAGGTTAGAGGGGGAAAAAAGGAGGACTGTTTAGCTTTCCTCTGGTTATGATGATAAAGGATCGCAGGATGGGGTGCGAGGTGCGGCGGCTGGGCACAGAGATCCGCCAGCGTAACCCAGAGCAGAATTTCCATTTTGACTCTGCCCTTATGAGTCTCTGACATAAGAGATCTGTGTTTCTGCRGCAAGGCCCTGCCCAGAGAGAAAAGCATTGCCACAGCTGCTGATCTGATCCTGGCAGGAGGGTGATCAAACCCCACCAGTGATGTTCTGAGCTCAGGATGGGGGCTGCAATCAGAGCCCCGTCCTGCTTGACACCTCAGGGAAGGAGCTTTTATCCCCAGGAGCTCCTGGCACAGACTGGAGCTGGCTTCCTCCAGCAGCAGTGACAAGAGGGTGGCACATTCCCCCGATGGGTCATGGTCCTCTCCCAACACATCCTAAGGACAGCACCTCCGYATTCATATTTCTATGCACAACATTTTTTTACTGCTCTAAGAATCATTCTCACACCTTTCCCCTTTTGTCTGTCTTGGAGCCTGGCTGTGCCAGGRATGGGTTTGGGTTTGGTGTGCTCCTGCAAACCCCCTCCCAAGGGRAAGGTTCCTGTCCCATGAGGGCAGCCCARGGARKGGGGRTTGTAGGGAAATACYCAGGGACTCCTCAGCATCCTYCTGTCCMGCTGCTGTCCCTCCTCTCCACWGTGGGTGCYTTGKYTTAGCCWGACATTTCCCACTGCCTCTAGCCCYCTTTGTGGTRTCTTTAGGGGTTATTAGGACRAAAGGTGGTATGGGAGGGTGCAGGGGCAGCATGGTGGGTTCAGAGGAGCCCATGGGCAGGATAACCCTGTGGACAGGATGACCATTGGGGCTGTGGGTTTCCCTGTCCCTGGACAGGTGGAATCACTGCACACCTTCCTCCCGATCCCACTCCTGGCTCCCAGCCTTATCTCCCACTGTAGTATCCTGGTTGGCGATGCCTCTCCTGGCTCAGGGAGCAGGAACACCCTGGAAGAGAGATGGTGCCAGCAGCTCCGAGCACAAGGATGGTCACGGGGAGGGGCAAGGGTCCCCCTGCCTCCCTGGGGTGCCCCAGCTTCAAGGGGCTGGGCTGTGAGAAACTCCTGCAAGCAAACAAAAAACCCTGAATATTTGAGAAAGGTCTTTTTTTTTCTTCCCTCCACCCTTATTTCCAGTCCTCCTCCCACCACTCAGGGCAGCCAGCAGAGCTGCTCTCCGGCCCTGTTTCCCCCTGCCCAGCACCCCGAGACGCTCCCGCAGCCACCGAGCCCAGCCAGGTCGTGCCATCTGCAAACTCCCGGCTTTTTTTAATTATATATATTGTTTTTCCTTCCCCTTTTCTTTCCCACCCCTTGCCTTTTCCCATGCCATACGCCTCCCCCTGGCCCCCCTCCCCTTGCCGCCACCCCAAGCCCTCGGCTGGCCGAGGGGCTGCGAGGTGCGGGGTGGGTCTGGGGGTTGCGGGGGGCTTTGCATTGATGCATTGATCGCCCATGGTCTCCGCCTGACCTCCCTGCTCCCAGGGAAGCAGTCTCCATGGCTACTGGCCCTTCTCCTTCAGCGCAGACTGTAAATTCCTGCAGGCAAAGCCCAGCCTTGGGGGTGCGAGGGGGGGAGCCGTGAAGGAGTAACCAAAGCCAAATAGAAAGAAAGAAAGAAAGGCTGGGAGAGAGAAAAAGGGCGTTGCTTGGATGGGGCTCTCCTTTCCACTCCCCTTTCCCAGGTCCCCAGCACCAGGGCAAGGCGCCTGCTTCCCCCCTCCAGCACTGCTGCTCCTGCTCCTGCTGCTGCTGCTCTTGCAAAACTGGAATTGGCTGGGATTATTTAAGGGGAAAAAAAAAAAAAAAAAAAAAAAAAGGAGGAGAAGGGATCAGAGCAGCCGCCAGAGAGAGGGCGATAGAGTCCACTTTCCTCCAACTGCCCTGGGTCTCCCTCCCTCGCTCTCTCCTCTTCAGCAACACCAAGAGCCCCAAACTGAACCCAGAGCAGCTTTTTCCATCAGTTCAGTTCCCTTCCCTCCCTCTGTCTCACACACGGCAAGGAGAGAGCCCCTTCCTCCCCTTGATTTTCCTTCGCATGCTCAGCCCCTTGTTTCCTTTAAAGCACTAGAAATCCCCCTTCTTGCCCCCGCTCCTCCCTGCAGACTGGGATTGCAATGGGAGCTTTGCAGATTGCTGGATTTTCCATCCTTTTCTTTCTCCTCCACTCTGGAAACACGCTGGCAAATAAAGCCAGTCAAGGTAAGAGAAAATCTTCCCTGCTCGAAGGTTTTGCTGTTTGATGTGTGGATTGGGCAGCCGGATCTCCTCGTTAGAGCTGGGGTTTAAGTGCAGGCTGGAGAAGGCAGCAGCAGTAACAACAAACAGTGGAGGGGATTTTAAATGTCGCTTGCAGATATTCTCGCCTACTGCCTTGGACTGGGGTTGGGTTTGTAAACTCTTTAATGAGTTGCGTTTCTTAGACTTCAGTTTTTTGGTTCGGACTCTTTATCTCAAGCCAGGGGGTGCAGGRGGCAGAAAATCAGGGTGGGCAAACAAGTCTGCACCCATCACAGGGGAAATGTGGCTGTTTGGAGTRGCTTGGGGGGCTCTGCTGGTTTTGTGCCTGTGAGATGGGGCTACCACGGTGGCGGTGTGGGCGAGGAGGCTGCTCCGGGCTGGGTTGGAGGGCAGGGATGGCGGAGCGGGCGTCGATAACGCCGGGAGACTGCATCTGTGCTCGGGGACTTCACATCAGCACGGGGGAATCTCGGTGCTTGGCTGCAGGGGTGTGGGCAGCAGAAAACTTCGGGTGACTGAGCACGGCTAAGCCTGAAAATTAAGGGAGCTCTTTCCCTATCTCTTGGAAAGGAGAGGTATGTCCCATCCTTATCAACTTGAGGCTTTTCTGCCTCACAACTCCCGTATTGAGCCGGAGCCTYCCCTTCCCAGACGTACACACAGAGCTTTATGTATGGTCTATCTATACCTTCGCTTTTCTATAGCACCTCTATATTTAGCTCGGATTTTTTCTATACACGCGCGCGGGAGTGCGAGCGCCCGCACCAGCACACACAGCCCCATACATGATCCCGTTGGCCGCCTCAAARGGGGTTTTCTCCCTAATTCACCGCTATCTGTGCAATCTGTCGGGTTTTCTCTTTTTCTTTCCACGGCGTGTAAGGTTCCCCCAGCCCGGCTCTGGCTGTGCTGCTGTGGCAGCTGCGTGTTTGCGCGTACGGCGAGATTAAACAGCGTGTGAATGAAATCTCGGAGCGCTGGATATAATGAAAGATCTCTTGTAGGCGGATTCCAGCCACGCGCATGGTCGCCCGAGCCCTGTCACCGACAAAGTTAGAAGGAATTTCAAGGCTATTGTCTTATCTGGCTCAAAGTGTTTCTAAAACAATAGGCGACTTCTCCAGAGGGCAGCCTGGGCAAGCAGGAGAGATTTTCCAGGGCAAAGGTTTGGTGAGAAGGCGTCCAGCTTTACGTAAAGCTTTATGATTTAGGCACAGAAAGGAATGCTTAGGTTTTTATCCCCCCTCAAATTATCTTGAGTGTATGCATTGCTTTCATTTCTTATCATAATATTTATTTATTAAGGCCTTTTGGTTTCCAGTTCCATTTAAGCCTGAGCCAGAATTGCATTAAAATAGCAAAGTGAAATTCCATCGTGCAGAGACTTGACAGATCCCTTCAGGGAAGGAGAGGGGTGGAGTGGGGGTGGAGAGAGGTGAGCTCAATCCTGCGCTGGGGTGCATCATCCGCCGTGCTCCCGGGACAGCGCTGGGTCCTTTCGGGTCTGGCTGTGCTGCAGGATTAATCCCTGAGGCTGCAATTGAGGGGTTCTGCAGGCTGGGGAGGGGGAGGCRTCTGCAGAGAGGCAAAGGTTGGTGCCTATGGGGCTGCAAGGACTCCGTGCAGGGATGGGCCTGGTGCTGGTCCTTTTTGGATGACGCTCGGGTCATTATGAACTCACRGGTTTCATTAGGGCATCGCTGGTGGCAGGTACCACGTGTGCCTTTCCTTGGAACCYGCTGTCTCCTGGTTTCCTGACTGTCACTGAGCTCTTTGAACCCACCCTGTGTGTCTGGGACATGTGTTAGCTGGATATTTCTCAAAAGCATTGGGCATGTGTGCCGGGTGACACCCCAAGGATGGGGCACACATCACCCCAAAACCTTTTCCCTTTTTAGGGACAGCCACCCTCGCCAGGTGACTGTCACGGACTGGGAAAGGCTCCTCTCCCATCGGGTGGGTTTGTCTTGCTGGGATAATGTYGTGTCATGGGTCGGGTGTGCTGGCTCATTTCTTGCACTGAATTACCCTGCAAAGTTTAGTCTGTGGGGAAGGAAGGATTTAGAGAGTCAGCTGCCGGGCCTGGAGGGTGTCTGCCAGTGGACCTGGCTGGCTGTGGAGGCAGCTTAGGGCCAGGGAAGCTTTCAAGAGGAGAAGTGATGATATAAATCTAAATAAGCACAGGGATGCTCCCGACACGCATTCACAGCTGTGATGGACTCTGTCCCTACGGTCCCCAGACCAAGCTGCCCAAACACTGCCATGCCCACCACTGCTCCAATTTTTGGGCAGATAGCATCACCTCCAGTCCCAGCCTCTCATCCATCAGTCCATCTCACAGCCTTCCAGGCAGAAGAGTTTGTCCTGATCTCCTGTTCTCAGTGCAGCAGTGCCCTCACCACTGTCTGCCAGCATCAGTCCCTCCCTGTGTGCTGTAGGACAGAGCCCRGGGACTGGCAGCTCTGCACCCTCCTCAAGCAGTGCCAACCCCTCTGGCAGCACCTTCATCACTGGGAACACATCCCAGAATGTGCCACATTTCTCTGCAACTAACTGCACATCCCCTGAGATGATGTGTGTTATGGGGCTGGGAGCGAGATGCAGCATCTCCCTGGGGAACCCCAGCACCCCAATTTGCAGCCCCTGGTATTCCCACAACCTCAGTTCAGGGTTCTGGGTGGGACCACAGCCCCARCCCAGCCCACTGGTCACTCAKTGGTCATCCATAGTTGATATCAGCCCTCCTGGCTGGTRCTGAGTGACTGCCCAGGGCTGGAGCCACTGTCTCACGTGAGGGGCCGGTGTGGTGGGATGCACCTGCAGAGCCTACACCACCAGGGATTATTTTTTTAATATATTTTTAAGGAGTCTAAAATGTTCCAATTGCAGCGTGGAGATGCCGTTTGATTCCCCTCCCATTGCCTCCAAACCTCCTCCCCCTTGGCCTCTGCCTTCCTACCTCTCCGGCATTCACAGWGTGCGACTGTTGTGCCTGTCCCCTCCACCCCGCTGAAATATGAAATGTAAAACTGTAAACATTTCACATACGCAGTTCAAAGGAGATCTTTGACTGAGGGCGTCTAACGTGCCTGTACCGAGATTAAAAAAGGGGAGGGGGTGGGTAGGAAGGAGGGAAGAAGAGTTTTTTTGTAACTGCCAACTGGAGTATAAATATTCAGACACCTTGAGTCTTCCACTGCCGATGTATTGCTCTCCAAAGTGCTCAGGGGCTGGGGCTTCTTTTCTTTTATTTTTATATAGATTTTTCTTTTCCTCTGCAGACAGCCACACCAGAGTAATCCATTTAGGAAAAAAGTATGCATGAGTGACCTTAACCTTCACTTTCAAAATTTTAAGTCCCCTTGGGAGGTTTTAGGAGAAGCTTGGGGTGGCAAATAAAGTTTGCTCTGTCTTGCGGCACTGGAGGATGCCCGGCTGTGTTTTGGAGAGGCTGTGTCCCTGTTGGAGATCTTGAGATTGTTGCTCCTGGAGCAAAAAACAAACAAACGCATTTTTTAAGCAAGGCTGGGTCAGTTCGATAAGCCAAAGGAGCAAGAACAGCAATGGCAATTCCCTGGGGAGATGAACACGCTGCTGGCGTGGAGCACTGAACCCTCTGTGGGGCAGTGGCGATGGAATTGGGCTGAAGGGACCAGGACTGGCACAAGGAGGTGGAGGGAGAATTTCTGACCCAAGGAATGGTGGTGGAACTGAGAGCCATCAGGGTGACTTGGACTAGTGCACAGGATGGACAGGACTTGGCTCTGCCTTCATGGACTGGGAAGCATCAGTGAGGGGGATAAAAAAAAACCCTTTTCTGGGGCATAGAAAGCTTTGGGGAAGCAAAACCCATGGTGAGGTGTACAGAGCAGGGTCTGGGCATTGGACAGCAGAGTCACCAGGCTGGGAATGCCTCCAGGTCCTCGTTGTGACTYGTGGTTCCTCGTCCTTCCATACTCTGTCATTCCACAGGGACAAGCACTGGGGCTGCATCTCCTGTGCCCCACCTGCTTTAGGGAGTTCTGGGTGGGTGTGCAGGGCACTGGGCTGGTGCAGGGATCCCCACTGCACATTGCGGTGCAGACATTCCCTCTGAGCTGTCCTGAGCACAGGTACCTGCCCAGGCACCACTGGCACCCCTATCCCAGCCRCCAGACATCACCCAGCACCTGAGCCAGGATCTCTGAGTTCAGATGACACTCCTTCAGCCAATTTACACAAAGCTGCCCTGCAGAGCATCCTGCTCCCCTCTCCTGGCCCATATCCCCTCCCAGGGGGCTGCTGCAGCCCATGGCTGTGCCCTGARCCTGTCCTGTGGTGCAGCACGAGTCGCCCTTGCGAGCTCCCTGGACGAACAAATGATTAATAAACTGCACCACAGTGTCTGAGGTGGTTATTAATTCCCTGGTAAAAGGAGCTACTGAAGTTATAAAGCTTTAATTTGGCATTAAGGCCGAGTGGAAACTCCACATGTCTGCCAACAGCTACACACACATCCCCATACAGACAGGCTGTTAATATATATGCCTATATAAAAACAAAGAATAAAATTAATTTGTAGAAAAAGCTGAAGCGCTTGCAGGAGAGGGGAAAAGGATGGTGGGTTGGTTTGTTTAGCCATTTTCAGGCCACTTTTTGCTGCCCTGTCTCGCCCTCCTCCTCAAATTTATTGTGACTTTCAGCCTATGGATAAAACCATCTTTTACTATTTTTTTTTAAAACAAGAAAAAATAAAAAAGGAAGTGAGGAAAGAGCCTCAATCCAGGCTCTAAAAATATACGAGCTGTTGCTTTATGCCCCTACTCGCTGTCGGGTGTGACGCCGCAGGGCAGAGGTGGCACTCGGGTGCCCTTGGGCTCATCCACCGCCTCCTCCGCTGGCCCTCGGTCAAAGCCCTTGGGCTCCCGGTGGGTGCGCGCCGGTCCCGGGGAGGTGGCGGTCCCCTCGCTTTTGGCACGCTCGAAATGGCAGTGGCGTTGAAACCGTCTGCCTCCGCTGCCTTTGAAATGGAGAATAAAGCTGCAGCTGGAGCGGAACGGGGCCCAACAGCCAGCRCTGGAAAATCCCACCCACAACGGAATAAAAAACATGGCCCGAGGCGCGGGGCGAGCGCCGCAACCTCCTGCCCCGCTCCGCAGCCCCCGGCGGTGGCCGTGCCGGGGATGCTCTGGCCCTCGGAGGAGCCCTGATSAGCCCCAGCGCGGTGGGACGGGGAGATGGGGCTGGGCAGGGAGCGGGGACACCGCGACTCGACATCTTCATTAAAACCAAACTCCCCGCCGGCTGCGAAATTTCCCGGTGCTGGGAATATGAGCCTATCTGTGCCGCCCGCTTTGGACTCGTTTCAGACAGCTTAGGGTGAAAAGCAGCGGGGTTTGGTTATTTGTGGAAAGAAGGGATGGAGGGGCTGTAGGGGTGCAGGTCTGCAGGGGGCCTGGCAGACCCTCCAAAAAGCCCACCTGGACTTGGGACCTTGGCTGGAACAGGGGGACAAGCAGGGCACACCCCAGCGAGGAGATTGTGAGAGCAAATAGGGACAGGAGCATCCATAAGTGATTTTTATTATTAAAAAAAAAAAAAAGTCTTCACTTGTCTCGAAGATGAACCCTCTCACGTGGTGGCAGCAACTTGGAGCACCTGCAGTGAGGCCACAGACAGCTTTTTGGATGGAGAAAATTCTCCTGCAGGAAAAATGGGCTGCCCTGAGAGAAAACCTTCCTTTTAATGAGAAAACATTGCTTGCATTGACAAAAATGCTAAACATTGAGTTTTTCAAAAGGTTTTACTTTAATTCACTGCATCATTTCTGAAGGATACTGAGGAATCAAAATTTCAGCATTCTAAAATTGGGATCTTTGCTGATCCTGGTACCGCTCCTGGGGTGCCAAGGAAGGTATTTATTCACTTTTCCCACAAACACACCTTTTTTTCTTTTTTTTTTTTTTTCTTACTTTTTTATAATCCTGTAACCTTTCAGAATGACTCCAGCTTTGGAAAAATTACAGAGTGGAAAACTGATAATGTTTTCTTTTGTACCTTTGCTTCCGTGTCATCTTTCCAAAGTTAGAGAAGTTTTGAAGTTACAGAATAGGAAAAAAAGAAAAAAAGAGAGAAAAAAAAAAAAAGATGCTATGCATGTGTGAGTGGGAAAGAGCCGAAGGTGTGTTCAGAGCCTCATGGATGTTGTTCATAGTCTTGAGTTTGAGAGAGCAGAAGGAAAAAGAAGTAGGAAATATAATTCCCCCAAAAGTGAGATTCCTGGCAAAAGGCTGGGAAAGTTTCAATGATGTGATTGATGTCTGGTGGATGTTTCATGTTTCGAGTGTTTTTAGGGGAAGGAGATGGGGTTTGATGGATGGTCTGTACTGTTTGGGTGCTGGTTCCCACCTGTGAGCCAGGGTGGGTGCTTGCAGTGCCAGACTTGACAACTGTCACCCTGGGACCGTGACTYGAAGCRTCAAGATGTGATTGATGACTTTAGRGGAARACCTGAAGGGGTCTCCCAACCACCCAGGGCCAGGACCAGGATCTGCAGAGTCAGTAGATCTCTGTGTCAACATCAGCTTTGCTGCTGCTGCTGAGTCCCCCAGAACATTGTGGCCAGCGCTTGGCATCTCCCTGCTCTGGCACCACAATCTCCCACCGCCCCTCTGGGAACCCAGTGAGGGAGCCTGAGACAAAGCCATTGGGATGCTGAAGAGCCTCACTCAGCTCCCCAAAAAGGGTCAAGAGCCTCGTGGAACCCTTGGTACAGGCAGGGGATGATGYTGGGTGCTGGAGTGGCCACAGCACTGTGGCACCATGACCAGCGGGAGCATCGCCCTGGTCCCCGTGCAATCCCTCCATCGTCCCCACCGCGGTGGGTCAGCCTCCAGCCGGTGATTAATGGCCCAAGGGAGGCCGTGGTGGCCGCGGGCCATGGCTAATGTCAAATAACAAATATGAATGCGGGCTGTAAATATTTATACAATGCGCAGGCACGTGCCGCCTCCCCGGTGCAGAGACAAAGCTCTCCTCCTCCCGGCCGGGTGACTCACATCTCCCGGCAAAGGCCCGCCCGGGTGGCCGGCACAGGGCTGGGGCTGGCGCTCCCGCGGCCGTGGCCCCTGTCCCGCGGGGCTGCAGGGCTGCCTGCCTGCCCTCCTGCTGCTTGCAGGGATGTTCTGAGTCTCCAAGGAGCTTCTGGAGCACTTCTGTTCTTGGGGCTGCTGAAAAGGAGTTTTTTAAAGGCAGCTGAGARCTTTGAAGCCTCATGGTCCTGTTCTCAGGGGCTCTCAGATCCCTTTTCCCTGGTGAGATGCTTTCCATCCTCATGAGAGGAGGTGAAAGCAAACCACTCCAGGAGCAGTGCTGGTTCTCCCCATGTGCCAGTGGAGATGGAGCCAGGAACCCGGGCTGTTCTGGAAGCCCTGCCCATACCTGAGGGGCTGTGGGTGTTGCTCAGCCTCCACCTGCCCCTCAGCAGCCCCATCTCCTCCAGGCATTGGCAATCAGGGAGGGGATGTGCCCGCTTCAGGGCACCACATCTCCCTGGCTGCCAGAGCCAGCTGAACAGCCTTTTGCTCACAAAACTCCTCTCCATGTGCTCCAGGCTTCTCCATTTCCCAAATACCATTGAAACCTCCACTCCCACGGCCTCCTGTCACAGCAAACCCTTGCACATCACTGCTTGAGGCTATGGCTGGCATCTGGAGCTCTGGATGTGATGTCCTGGGTACCATGGYGCTGCATCCCAGAGAAGGGGGCTGAGGAGCAAAGGGGGATGGGGAAAATGCAGATTTTGTCCATGTCTGCAAGGAAGCTGTGATGTTTTTTCCCAGTTCTCCCTCCTGCTTCTCACTCCTGGCTMCCAGGTTTATTTAGTGTGGTCCCTGCTAATTTGTGCACATTCCTTGACGCCTAAGAATAGAAAGCTGTGATGATTATTTGGGTGATTGGTCAGCTCTGGAAACAGTTAATTGGAGACAGAGACTTTCACCTCTGCCTGGGCGAGCTCCAGCCTGGACCAGAAGTGCCTGAGCAGCATTTCTGAGCAGACACATGAAAGGGCTGGGGAGTTTCAGGGTGATGTGTCAGAGAGGGGACATAAGTTGTGGTGTTTGGGAGTGGACYCCACAACTCCCCTGTCCCAGAGCAAGCCCATCATCCGCTGGTTGAGGAGCCAGAGGCTGCTGGGATCCATCACCTCGGGTGGTGGCTCCCATGGGGACAGTGGGGAGAGGTCCCAGGCTCTCCCCATCACTCCCTTCTCCTGTCCTCTTGCAGATGTTGATGAGTGCGTGGAGGGCACCGACAACTGCCACATCGATGCCATCTGCCAGAACACCCCCAAGTCCTACAAGTGCATCTGCAAGTCCGGCTACACCGGGGATGGGAAGCACTGCAAAGGTAGGGACRCACCAAAAATGGAGCCAGAACCCCACTGACATGTGACAGACCCCTACTGGTTTTAGGCCAGCGGTGGCTCACCAGCACTGGCCCCTGCAAAAAGGCCACTTGTTTACAGTGGCCTTGGTAAACCTTTTATTCCTCTTTTCTGCCCCAAACCCCTGGCCTGTTGACAGTGCACAGGGACAGAGAGGACTCCGACTGTCCTTGCTGGTGATGGTGACAGCCATTGTTCTGGCATAGTTGGGGCTGCCCATGGAGGGTCACTTGGGGTTTGTTTTAAACAAAGCTGAGCTTATTTTGCTGCAGGATTTCTGACCCTGAGGCTGCAGAACTGTGTTAGCAGCTAAAACATAAGAAACTTTAAAATAAGATACAGAAATACAGATGTAGACAGTGTAGATATAAATCTAGATGTAGATATAGGTGTAAATCTAGGTACTGATAGAGGTATAGGTATGTGTCTATATTTAGATATAACTGAGAGGGGAATGGAAAGAAAGTGGGCTCTTTGGAGCAGCAGCAGCAGGAAAGCAGGATTGGGGCAGGGGAAAAATTCCCAGCTCTGCTCAAAGCAGGTTCAGGGTCAGGATGGGCCGAGTACAAATAGCAGAGGGATTAAAGCGCTCCAGGCACTGCGGGGCTTTGCCATGGAGACGGACGGGGCTGCTCTGCCAGCGCCCTGGGAAATCCCAGGAGGTTCCCAGCACTCAGCACCAGGCGAAAGCTGTAAGGAGTGGGTTAGCTGGGGGTCCAGGGTCTAGTCTGGGGARAATGGGGATGGTTTTGTAGGGTGTGGAGGGATGCTGCAGGTGATAATGGAGCTGAGAACCTGCCGGAATAGACAGAGAGAGCAGAAGACCATGGAGCACAGTATCAGCTGGGTGGAAAAGATGCTGAAGATGGGGAGCAGCACCCATGGGAGGTGGGTTGGCCACCTGCAGCTGGGGAAGCCCTGCAGCCCTCCTGCCCTCCTTCTCCCCAGATGTTGACGAGTGCGAGCGGGAGGACAACGCGGGCTGCGTGCACGAGTGYGTGAACATCCCCGGCAACTACCGCTGCACCTGCTACGACGGCTTCCGCCTGGCGCACGACGGCCACAACTGCTTAGGTGAGGAATGTCGGTGCATTGMAGTTCCTCAGCAGCTCCAGCACCAGCCTGTGGCTTTCTTTGCTGCCACAGAGCCGTGGTGGCACTCCCAGGGCGCTGAGCCAACTGCAGGCACGTCCTGTGCTGCAATGTCTCACTGGGGACAGGATTGCTCCCTGTTACACAGGGGTGATGCCGAGGGAGGATGCTCCATGCTGGGAGAAAAACTCACTCTGTGGGTCCATCCGTATGCTGGGAGGGTTGGAGGAAGGCAAAACTGGGAGAGATTGGTTTAGGGTTGCTGCGGGTGAGGCACAGGCTCCCCATAGCCACATCCTGCTGCGGCGAGCGGCCGGGCCGGCAGCCCTGYGCCGCTGCCRAGGGTAGGACCAGCTCACCCGGGCCCTGCCGCTYGCTCCGCTCGTGCTCGAGGTCAGCCCTGCACCTGCCAAAATAGATGAGTTAATAGCAAATATGGTGGGGATGGGAACCAGCGAAGGGACTGGATAAATAACCCCCGGGCCAAGACAAACGCGGCATCTGCCTACGGAGCGGCCGTGCATCCTCCCTGCCACTTCCCACCGCCCCGAACTCCATCCGGCCGCGGCGGAGCCAAAGCTCCCGTCAGAGCCCGGGGGCCCATCGCTCTGCCCGCGCCCGGCACCCGCTTCCTCCCGCGGCATCCGCGCTGGGAGCGCCGGGGCGCAGGGCAGCCCGCCTCCCCTCCGCCCGCAGCTCATGCTATTTTCTAATTAGTGTCTGCAGAGGGGTCATTAATGAGCTCATCACTGGGAGGGGGAGGAGGGGGAAGGGATTATGGACACATACGCTTTGCATTAACCACCAGCACCGGGATCTTTGCAGCCTCCTCGGGGAGGGGGGAGATTTACACAGCTGGGAGGAGGCGCGGGCGGGCGGCTCTGCCTTCCTCTCCCGGGGGAGGATGAGCCCGAGGAGAAGAAAGGAAAGCTGGACGTCATGTGTTTACAGAGTTGGGTGGGAGGGGATGGAGATGGCCGGGGAGCAGCCCGGCAAGCAGGGATCGGGAAGGGGGGGACATGCTGGCTCCCACCTTGAGCTCTTCCCAGCATCTCATCCCTGATCCTGACGTGCTTTGCCCAACCTGCCTRCATCCCCTTTTAGCCAAAAGAAAGAGAAGCAGAGCAAAGCAGAGTGTTGTGCCCAGGCTTCGTCGGTGCCATGGGCAGGGGCTGAGCTGGAGTGGGGTCAGGGTACGTGCCCACCAGAGCCCACCAGCCCCTCCACTGCCCACCCTGGGCGACCTTTTGAACCAGGACAGGAATTCAAGCCCCCGGCCTGACACGAGCCCTGCTGGCTTCTGCCCATCTCTGTTGTATTTAATAAAACAGGTATTAGAGTGGCGGAGTCTCGTTTCAGCCATCGGGTTTGAACGGCTGCCTCCTCATTTTTGAGCAGAGCTGGAAGGAGAAGTTGCAAGACATTAAGCCCTTGTTCTAAGCAGGGGGATTTGAGGAGAGTTATTGGCATCTGCAGGACATAGCTTGGCTGGGATGAGCATTGGAGGAACCATGAGCTTGCCATCGCAGAGGACATCCCTCTGTGCCTGGCTGCAGCATGGGTGTCAGCCCTCACTGCCCTGTGGGTCCGAGGGTGTTTTCAGCCTCTTTTCCAAGATAGTGGCTTTGTTGGGTGCTGCTGGGCTCYGCTGCCTGGCCATTTCCAGCTGGAGCTGCAGCATTGCTTTGATATTTCTGCACATCCCCTTAGCGCTTGCCTGGGGCTGGGGCACAGTGCAAGGCACCCACACTGCTCAGTCGCCCATCCATCCATCCATCCGTTTTGCCCAAAAGCACGGGGGTTTGGTGCGTGCTGCTCTGTTYGGGGAGGGGGCCGGGGCTGGGGGGCCTGGGAGCCCCCGGCACGTGCCGTCACTGAGCCGCTATTCCGGCGTTTCCGCTGGGCCATGCTGGCGGGGTTCAGTTTTCCCCTCAGCCGCGGCTCTGCAACGCYCGAGTTCACAGGACGTTTTCTTTGGCATGGGGCCCCTCGCTTCCCGGCCCGACACCATCACCCGGCCCCGGCACCGCGGGCAGAGGGGGCAAGGGGCGGCCACGGCAGAGGTTTGTCTCTGCCCCAGCCCGGCGTCCTGATTCTCTGTCACCTCGGGGCACCAGTGAGTTCAGATCTGACCACTGTCCCCAAAAAGCCTCTTAGGGAGAGCAATGGGCAGTTAGTCTTCATTAAAAGCAGGATTTGCAGGGCTGAAGCCAGGGCATTGCTGCTGCCACGGGGCCACATCCCAGCCCCTTGCAGCCGTGGCTCGTTAAACCAAAACAGGTGTGAGGGGAGGGCAGCCGAGCGGCAGGGCAGGGGATGCGAGTCTCCTTACAAGTGATTATCCCTGCTCTCAGCTAAGGTTTCCCAGCTCCCCCTAATGAAGTGCAGGCATCCCCAGCTGGCAACAGGCTCCGAGGGGCTGGGAGCAGGGGCCGGCTGCAGCGAGCATCCCGGATGAGTATCCTGGGTGCTTTGGGGTTTCTGGGACAAGGAAAACCCCTTTCTCTGCGGTCTGCTGTTCCYTTCTGTAAGACGAGGCTGGATGCTTTTTGCCCATCAGTCAGGGAAGCTGTATGACCCACTCCTGCTCTGCTTTGCCKTCATGCCCTGCAGCCCTCAAGCATTCCCCTTTCTCCAGCTGGGGGATCACAGATGTAAGGCAGCAGTGAGTCTCTACCCAGCAGATCTGTCCCCACCATGCTCCCCATCAGCCGGGTGTGCCAGGGAACTGTGCTCACCTCCTGCCACTTTCCCTGTGCAGACCTGGACGAGTGCTCGGAGGGCAACGGCGGCTGCCAGCAGACCTGTGTCAACATGATGGGCAGCTACGAGTGCTTCTGCCGTGAGGGCTTCTTCCTCAGTGACAACCAGCACACCTGCATCCAGCGCCCTGAAGGTCAGTGCTCAGCAGCACCATGCTCCTCCATCCCTTCATTTGTCTGTCCTCTGTCACCTCTGGCCACTCCTCTGCCTGGGATTAGGTGCTGCTGCTGGGTTCTTGGTGTGGCAGGTTTGAAAGTGGATCTGTGACAGAGCACATTGGGAGAGGTGATAAATGTCCTGCAGCAAAACCCTCACAGGTCAGCAATATTGAACAGGGGATATTAATCCTATGTCCAGAGTGATTTATTGATAAATGGAAGGACCTGGAGGTCCTCACACCACCTTAAGAGACATGTCTTCCCCTGCCAGGTCTTGCACAGCACCGAGCCCTTCGTCTCGGTATCAGCTCTAAATTGCTGCCGTCTGGAGCAATCCCTTAGCCAAAATAGGAGGAAATGAGAGATTTTTGCGTCTCTGCTGATTTTTATCTCTGCTGCTTGGCAAAGCCAGCTGAGTGTTTTTGCTTTCCTCCTTTCCCCTTCCCAGCTGTGTTGGTCACTCCAGCTCCCTGGGAATTTTGCCCAGCCCAGGATGGCTGAGCAGCTGCAGTGGCATCTCCTGTGTCCCCATCCTTGTGTGTCCGAGGGGGATGAGCTGGCTGCTCCTTAGTCCTGGTGCCACAGTGGGGACTGGGATGCAGATGCTGAGTCTTGAGCTCAGTGGGGTTTAAAGTCACATCAGGGTGTGGGAGCAGGGTCTCACAGAAGGGAGGGAATCAAATGTTGAAGGGTGGTTTTGTCYACCTTCCCAAGCAGCTCTGTGCCAGGAGCTGGCCAGGGTTATTCTGTCCCCACAAGGTCCTCACGACAAGCTTTCCCCTCATTGACCTCATCTTCCCATCCCAGACATCCTTCTGCCTTTGCTGACCAGTGCCAGCAGCTTTTGGAGCATTTCTTTGCTTTTTTTTTTCTTTTAGAAGGCATGAACTGCATGAACAAGAACCACGGCTGTGCTCACATCTGCCGGGAGACCCCCAAAGGGGGCATTGCCTGCGAGTGCCGCCCCGGCTTCGAGCTCACCAAGAACCAGCGCGACTGCAAACGTAAGGAGTGCCCCAGGGCTGGGGATACGGCCTCCCAGAGCCCCCCAAACCCTGTCCCCATGGCACAGACACCTCCTGCCCCTGCAGCAGAGCCCTGACCCCCCATCTGCAGTTGGTTCATCCAGCCTGAAGCTCAGCACACTCAGCTCTGCCTCTGTTGCCCTTATGGACAATGCTTCTAGCAGCCCCCTCTGCCATGAGATGTGTCCTTACATGACCAAGCTGAAATGGCAGTTCAMGGGGGTCCCAGAGGCTCAGCACCCCCTGTTCCTGCCCCAGTGTTTCACTTTCCAAAGGGGAGGTGAACAGGGAGAGTGCAATCGGAATGTGAGGAGCRCAGGAATCCTCTCCCTGGGGGTTGTGGTGCTCTCAGCCTGTCTGATCTCCTGCCAGCATCTCACTGGCAGTGCCAGGGTTATTAAATAGATATGTGTGTGTTTATGCAATTATTTTTATTTTGTTTCTCATTTGCTCTGTGCAGCAAACGTGTAAAATCGCTGATGAAATGGAGGTTTAATCCTATGAACMTACTTTCCCTCTAAGCTAAATGAACAGCACACCTTTCCTCCGGGGCAGGGCTGGCAGGGATTCCCGAAAGCTCCCGTGACATTCCAGAGCTGAGGAAAGGCTCACCCTTCCCCTGCAACACTGGATTCAGAGCCAGGCTCAACCAGCCCACCCGTTCCTTTTGCTCGGGGGCTCCACTGGTGGCATTTAGCAGATATGCAGGGGGAAGACACGAGAAACCACAAAACAGTTTGCATCTGCCAAGATCCCACAGGGAAAGTGAAGGGCTTCAGGAATTATCTGTGAGGGGAGGAGGGAGGAAGGAAGGAAGGGAAGGAGGGAGGGAACTCTCTGAGGGTACAGACCAGGTGTTTCCAAGCTACTTTTATGTCCTGCACGTGGATACCAGGCAGGGAAAGGGGAGCTGGGGCCATGGTGACACTGGTGACACTGCTTTGCTCCCACAGTRACCTGCAACTATGGCAACGGGGGCTGCCAGCACACCTGCGACGACACCGACCAGGGYCCCAAATGTGGCTGCCACGTCAAATTCCTGCTGCACTCGGACGGGGTGACGTGCATAGGTAGGTCAGGCCATGGCTCACACAGAGGTTGGGGTGTGGGACGGCTCATCTTCCTCCCTGGGTGATTTATCCCTGGCCTGCTGAAGGKTTTTTTTTTCTCAAACTTTGAGGATGCAGCGATTTCCTTTTGCTGGGAAACTCAGTAGGTGTGTGAGGGATGCTGAGTGACACACCTGCAGGGTGCAGGGATGTGTCTGCTCAGCCACGGGGRGCAGAAGTGACCGTGGTGGTGCTTGAGGGGACACCTGGGGACAGGTTGCTGTGCTGGGTTGCRGGAAAGGGTCCCTGCCTGCCTCTGTGCTGCTGAAGAGAGAGTGATGAGGATGTCCCCAGGCTAGGAATTGTTACTGTCGCTSTCACTGGCAGCTTTTGAGGAGGAACATGGAAGGGGGCAGGTTTGTCCCCAGTGATCTGTTCCATCTTGGTATTGTGGGGCCTTGGCTCAGGAACAATTGTCTTGCACAAAAAAAAACCCAACAAAACCAAAACCCCAACAACCTGACAACTCAACCACCCCCAGAATTGTCCTTTTCCTGTGTGTGTTTTCAAATTGTAAAACATCAAGCAGAGATAGAAGTTTTACTGGTTTCATATGCTTGTGCTGTTTAACAGCTGCTTTGATTTAAAAAATGTTATATTTGGGGAGTGATTAAGTCCACAATTGCTTGAGACATTTAAGTTCTTATTGCAAAATGAAAAAGAAAAAGGAACTGAAAGCAAGAGAGGTTTTGGCTTGCCACGTCCCTGCTGTGCCTGAACAGAAAAACCCTCCGTGCTTGCCACAGACAGCTCCGTCCTCAGGGCACAGGAGCCCCCCTGAGCCCCCTGCTGCTCCCTGTGAGTTGAGGGGTGTTTGGGGCTGTCCCCAGCAAAGCCCTCCTGCCCATCCATCACTGCTGTCTTAATGTCACCACTGTCCCCCAGCCTGCTCCCAGCACAGATCCCAATCCCTCCTGGCACGTGCAGCCCCTGCTCCCCGCCGTCCTCCTGTTTGCTCCCACAGCCTCTGTGTCCTGTCCCACCTCTGAGGACCCTTCCAGGGGGTTGTTGCTGTGCCCAGGTGGGGAGCTGTCCTCCAAGGGGGACCTTGGGACCCCTGGGTGTGTCAGCCCTCCTGGACAGAGGGCCCTGCGCGTGGCGTCTGATTTGGGCAGCTTTGGGACCAAGGATGTCCCTGACCTGTTGGGTGTGAGGGGTGAGAGAGCAGCTCTCCAAAGCCTTTTGTGAATTTGGGGGATGCTTCAGAGCACTCTGTTTGCTGGGGGGGTCTCTGCACTCAGACCTTGGCTACCACAGTTGTGAGGGTGGGATTTAGGGCAAAATCACTCATCCTTTTGTCCTTGGCCAAAGTGTCCCTCTTTGTCCCCAACCCTGCCCTGTGTCTGCTGGGGAGGCATCTCTCACCAGARCCAGCACACCCCTGTGAGGTTTTCCCTTGTCCGCCTTTCCAGGGGAAATCAAACACTTCACTAGAGGATTTTAGGAGCAGCACCAGCCCAAAGCCCACCACCATGCCTGTCTCGATCCTTTGCGGATCTCTCCGCAATACCCCCTCACAGGAAGGGGCCTGCCCAGCTCCTGCATTCCCTGGGGGATTCCTGATCCCCAATCCCACCGTGGGAACACCATGGGATGGTGCTCTGGCCGCTGGGAGCCAGCAGCCGCCCCGCAGGGATGCCCAGCCAGCAGATTTACAGCCGAGGTACCTGCTCGGATATTTATAACCACCCTTTCTTGTTTTATGGCTYGGGCACAGCAAACAGCCCTCCCCCCTCCACACTGCCCCCTTCACCGCCCCTTCCCCATTTCCTCCAAAATATTTCATCATTTCAAGGGGCATAAAGTTTCCAGTGAGGGGAAACGCAAAGTCATTCCCCGGGCCGCGGGCTTTGAAATTGTACGCGGTGCGTTTGATGGGCTGCCGGGACAGGCCCCTGGTCCAGGTTCCCTTCAGATCACACCACGCGGCAGGAAGCACGATCAGCCCCTCTGAGTGACAGTTTCATTAGGCCACGGCCGGTGTTTTTCATTTTTCCGCTTTTTATTGCTGCTTTTAAAAATGCAGATAATGAGGAACATGCCTCTGAGCACAGGGGCCATCGCTAATGGCTCCCAACATGTCTGCAGGCGTGAGGGGGAGGGGGAGCCGGGAGGGGAGGCCCATGACCTTATGTATTTATGTTTATGCTCCAAAAGCAGTCTTTTCTTTAAAAGAAAAATAAAAAGAAAATAGTAAAAAGAAGCACATAAAACAGCCCTCCAGCAGCCAAGGGTGCAGTGTCCGCAGGGGAGATGCGAAAATGGCTGTCACAATTGATGCAGATTTTGGCTTTCCGGGAAGATTTACCAGCCAGGGCATCATTGCAGCTCCCTCCCACCGATATTTGGGGTTGTTGCACTCGCGGCGAGCACTGATGGAKTGGGGAGGGGGTGCATGGGGAAGAATTATGATTAGATGGAGAAGGAAACTAAACCCAGCTCRAGTTTTATGGCTGATTTCCTGACCCACGCCCAGGCGGTTTGCGACGGCACTGCCGATGCTCCCCAGTTTTGTGGAACTGGCCATGCTGGGAGCATTGCCAGAGCTCTGGACCCTCTGCTGGGTCAGGGTAGGGTGCACTGACCCACTGCTGGGTCAGTGTAGGGTGCACTGACCCAGGGGTGAGGCTGAGCAGCCCAAGAACACCCAGGGTTTGGTCTCACTGCTGGCTTGGCTGCTAAATCCAAGGGGTGCAAGTGCCACCGGTGGGATGCAGTTGCCTTCCCGAAACCCATGGCTGGGCAGGATCCACTTGGCTCCTCTCAGGGATCACCACCTGCCCTGGCACGTGCTGGTTTTGTTCCCAACCAGGGTGAGGACCTGGCTCCCCAGACTAACAGGCTGCACTAACGCTCCTCATAACGCGCTTCTCCCGCTCGCATGGGGCTCCAACCAGCCCGGCACAGCTGGAGGGGGTTTAGAGAGGCTGAGGGACATGGAATGCTGGGGAGGTGGGAGAGAAAAAGCCCAAAAAGGGACAGTTTCCRCCAGGCTGGAAAGGCAGCAGAGTTGAACCCATTGATGTGTGACACCAACCGAGTTCCCTGCTGGACACTGTTTCTAAATCACTTTTTTATAATGTTAAACAGGGGAGAGACACTTCCAGCAACACGTTATCCTTGAGACGTTTTCTAATGGTAAATATTTTTGTTCTCTCTATCTCTACGAAGGGGTCTAACCGTAGATGGTCTCTCCTCTCGAGATCACGCCGGGGCTCGGGGGCTGAGCTGCTGCGCTAACCGCATGTCTCACTAACCCTGCCCCACTGCTGCTTCCAAACCCCAAACTGCAGGGCCAGCCTGGGGCTGGGCTGGGGACAGAGCAGGGCACCCTCCCCTCGCTGTGCTTGCATGAGATAGGGGCTCTCAYGCTGCTTTGGTGGCTCCCGGCGCCGGGGTGACAATCTGCTTTCTGGTGGCTGTGGCAGTGCTGACCCCCTCACACCTAAGAGGAGCTCACAGTGGGCTGCCAGCGCTGCGTGGTGGGGAGGGGGATGCTTGTGCCCATCTCTGCACTGTGCACTCTCAAAGTTGCCCCTTCCTAGAGCTCACCCGCTGGAGGATGGTCCCCTCTGGGTCATTCAGGGTGTCCCAGGGTTTGGCCTTGCTGTGCTCAKGGGCTCCCAGCCCGGAGGTGCAGASCTGAAATRGCCCTTTACAGGGCTGAAATRGCCCTTTATGGGGCTGGRCACCTCCCCAGGGATTKCTTTGCATCCCCGTGGGGTCTCCAAGCCCTTCACTAAGGTAAGGTGATGCCTCTGCTCTGCCACCAAGGAAACCGAGGCAGAAGGTGCAGCAGCTTGTTTGTGGTGGGGAATCTTGTTCTTGGATGTGCTGGGTGCAGGCAGACTCCTGGCACACCCAGGAGTTTTGGGAGAGCAGGGAGCACCAATTGCAGCTTTTGGGGGGCTCTGCAGAGCCTTTCCCACAGGGGTGGGACTGGAGGGGAGCCCCGATCTGTGCCGTCACCACACTCCAGCCAGCCCAGTTGTAATCTCTTTGATTACCTCAGAATTGCCCCCTCAGGCTGGTGGGATCACATCCTGCTGGGATTGTCTCTTCTCAGGTGGAGGTGAGGCCAGAGTGTCTGCAGTGAGGGTGCTGAGCAGGGCAGGGAGTGCCGTGGAACAGGAGTCGGGAAGTGAGAGCGGAGTTGGGATGCGGGAGGGTGGAAAAGAATCTGAGTGCCTGTCTGTGTGTCCGTGTGTGTCTGTGTGGAGCTGCTTTGTCCTGTCCCTGCCCCTCGGAGCCCTCACCAGAGCCCAGTGAGTGACACCAGGCTGGGAGCAGCCCTGGGCTGTCCCAGTGTCCAACAATCGCTGCTCCCCGGGGCTGCCCCAGTGCTCAACCCTGTGCCACCAGCCTCCAGTGCCTCTCAGTACCCCTGCAGCCCCCTCCCAGCTTTCTGCAAGCCCAGGACAGGGTTCCCCCATCACAGAGGGGTTTGCAGTGGTGCTATGGCTGTGATAKCTCAGCTCATAGCCAATGGCCACCCGGGACAGCTGCTCTGGGATGGTGGGTGGGACTGGCTTTACATCTCAGCCAAAATTGCCAGAGGTGTGAAGGGGCCAGGAGAGGTGCCCGAGTGCTGGAGGAGCACGGTGACAGCAGCCCAGGGCACTGTGCTCTCTGGAGAGCCCCATCCTCTCTGGCTCCATCCCTCTGGCATCGGCACCTGAACCGAGCCCATCATCTCATCTCAGCAGTGACCCTGGTAAATCAATCCTCCCCAGGCTGCTCCTGCATCAGCTGCCGGAACAAAGGCTGGCGTTGAACAAATGATTCACTGGGCTTTCAGAAAGTTTCCCTTCCCTTGGGCGMGGTGTCACCCTCCCCGTGTCCCTCACCCAGCGCCGCAGGGAAGGGAGGACAGCCCTGGCATGGCTGGGCCACGTGTGGTGCGAGGACCTGGCCAGAGGAATAATATCTACAGAAATCCTTCCCCTGCCGTTAGGTTTTGTAATTGTGCTGGTGATTAATTTCATAAAATGGTCCCTTTTGTTCTCTTAWTATGGGACATCATAAAAATAGCAGTGGCAAGACGAGCACAGAGTGATCCCAGCTCCCCAGCCCCGCGGCGAATGGTTGGATGGTTCAGTCATTCCTACCCCATGCGGCGCTTGCAAAGAGCAGGAGAACCTGGGATTTGCTCTTTCCAAGGAATTTCTTCAAGGCATTTTCATCTTGGGTTCCTTGAAGCCCAAATGCCTCATTTATCCATGCAACCAGCCTTCTGAAAGGAATGTTTTATTATCCTTTGTGAACAACTTAATGCACTTCAAACCATTGTTCTGGTGGTTAGGGTTGAAATTGAGGATTGATCTCACAGGGAAGCTGTCAAGCTGAAAATGCTTCATTTAAATTAGTGTCCCTTCTAGTCCTACCAGCAACAGCTGACTTTGATAATACTGAAATAATTAGCTTTTTTTTTTTTTCAATTGGATTTTTTTTTCCACTGATGCTGCCTGCCTCTGAGTGTGTGCTTTAATTATATGAAGCGTCTCCCAAATTAGCCCGAGACACTGGACCAGCCACTGTGCCTGAGCAGCGGGTGATGGTCAGGGACCGACGGCACAGGGTCACCGTGGCTTTGTGGTTTGGTGGCAGCGAGGGGGACAGRACCACTCTGCCACCCCCCCGGGGGGACTGGGGCTGTGCACCCACATCCYTGGGAGCCACAGCTTGGGCATTCCWGGYAGGACCAGCCTSTGGCTGCGTTTGCACAAGTGCTGTGACCTCGTCCCTTGGAAATTGAATTCCTCCTCTTTGGAGCTGCCAAAGGTGCCTCCTTGAGGCCCCATTTGTGGGGACACCCAKCCCCCATGTGTTGAGGCCCTGTTTGTGGGGACACCCAGCCCCCATGTGTTCATTATTTCACGGCTCTGTAATATTCAATGTATTATTCTCGTGGCTGTTGTGTGAGAAGCCAAGGGCGGTTTCTGTGGGCTCTGCAGGGAGGTTTGCACCCACTGCCACTCCCAGGCTGTGGCACGGGGGGGACATCAGGGGGGTGTGACTCCCTCAGCCTTTTGGACACCAGTCCCTCACCCCGGCTTTCCTCTCCCCTTYCCACGCAGAGACGTGTGCTGTGAACAACGGGGGCTGTGACAGCAAGTGTCACGACGCRGCCACGGGTGTCCACTGCAGCTGCCCCATGGGCTTCATGCTCCAGCCTGACAGGAAGACATGCAAAGGTAGGTGGGTGTGAGCGGGRTTGGGGTGCTCTCTGCTCACCCCTGGGTGCCTCAGACCCCCATTGTGTCYTCAGTGCCCTTAAAAAAGGCTCAGATTTAGCTCAGCTCAGCTTTGCTCACTGGCTCGGTGCTTGCATCCACGAGGTGGGGACAGGAGTCACCCTCTTCACGGGGACTGGGACACCTTGCTGAGGGCACCGTGCTTTGCCCCAGCACAAGGGAGCRAGCTGTAAACCTGCTGTCAAGGAAAGTGAACCATAATCCCAAAGGCACAGACCTGTAAAGGATTGGGAAGGGGGAGTGGAGATTTTGGGTTAAGTTGATGAATTTAGGAAACCTAACATTCCTTGTTATGCACATGTTGCAATTCATACTGGTGTAAGTGTAAATATTTGATGTGTTGGCAACAAGTCTTTGGTGAGATTGCAAATTGAACCTCTGCTTGGGAGGAGGGACACCTTTCCTTTCTGACACGTGAGCTTTTTGGAGGTTGGCTTGGAGGTGACGTGATGCCCTGGGAAGCCTATGGGGATGAGGGAAAGGGGGTCAGGTCAAGTCAGAGGCACTGGCATGGCTCTTGTGGGGTGAGAGGGCCTTGTCCCATCTCCTTCCACCCCATTGCCCCACTGGTTATGTGCTGTGTGTGCACCACACCTTCTCTGCAACTTTGAGACGCACCCTCTGGGGACACTGCCCAGCCAGGTCCAAGCACCATGTCCCACTTGGGGACAACACCCTGAGGTGCTCCACGTCCCACCAACATCCCCAACCACCTGCCCCTGCCAGGCAGGGCCGTCCAGGCTGCTTTCCCTGCACCCCAAACTTCCCTCAGAGTGGCCGGTGCCTGTGTTGTGTCTTTTGGCAGCTCTCAGAACTTGACCCCGGCTGAAAGGAAAGCCTGTCCCTCTGCTGGCTGCCTGTCTACCTRTTGACTGCTTCCAGAACCCCCTGCCCCTGGTATTTTATCAGAGCACCCACCCYTCTCCAATTCTGCAGTTTCCAGCGACGTGCAATAACCCAGAGCCATGTCCCCTGTGTCTGRGGTTTTATTATGGCTGCAGGCAGGTTTACAGCTCGCTCCCTCGCAGTCATAAAAASAAAGAAAACCTCAGCCCCAGCGAGGCAGAGCTGCTGCCCCAGCACTGGGGGATGGAGGGGCTGGGCAGGCTGCTGCCTCTTCCTGGTCTCCTTCCATTTTACAGGTCGTTTCCTAGCCATAAATTTWGTGATTAGTGGAAAAATAAGAAAAACAACCAAAAAAMMCCACATCCCAGCCTCTTTYYAGGTTGTTGGGGCTCTTTGCAATTACTGTGCATCATCCTTCTAACAAGGAAGGATATGGCAAGCAGAGAGGCAAGGGTTAAAAAGCAGTTATTTTGCTGAGTGGCTGTTTTTGAAGGAGGGGTTTCCCCTCTGGTTTTCTCTTTCTTCCTGGTCCCCTAAAGCAGACCCCAGCCCAAACCTGTCTGCAAACTCTGGTCTGGTGCTGTCACCTTTGGGGCTCCTGGCTCTACTCCAGGGGATGCTCAGACCTGTRGAAAATAATCATTTTGCACCACTTCCAAGGAGAGCTGAACCCCAGAGTCCTGACCTGGCCTGGTGTCACACTTTGGCTCCTCAGCTGCACACAGAGAAAACCAGCAGCCACGTTCCCCTGGTGACAAAAGGGCTCAATTTCCCAGCTCATGGTGGGGATAGCATCCAGAGGAGAGCCCCCAGCTCTCCTGGCAGAGAGAGGTGACGGGTGTCACCTTGTCCCCTTGCCAGGGGGTGACGGGTGTCCCTTGTCCCCACCAGACATTGACGAGTGCCGGCTCAACAACGGCGGCTGTGACCACATCTGCAGGAACACGGTGGGCAGCTTCGAGTGCAGCTGCAAGAAGGGCTACAAGCTGCTCATAAACGAGAGGAACTGCCAAGGTAAGGGGCAGGGAGCAGCCAGCCCCCCTGCACTCCCGTGTCTCCCACCCTCCCATGGCTGCTGCTCCCATGGAGAATTTCTGTCCTGGTTGCTCATTCCTCTGGGCTTCTCTGTGGACTGCACTGCGGGATTAGAGTTGAATTTGTGTTCTGGTCTGGGGTTTAGCCTTTCCATCTCAGAGCCAGAGACTTGCAGGCTCTTGCAGAGTTCAGGTCAGCAATCAGGCAGATGTCAGTGTTCACGGTTCTGGAGGACAGGAGGAAGGAGAAGATGCTTCCTGCTCACTCCAGAGGGAGCTGGCTGCTCCATGCTGCTTCTTCCACCTTTTTCTCCCTGTCCCAACATCTTTCTACACATCCCACACAAACCCAGCAGGTCACTGGGCTGCCCCCACAGCCCATGGCCAAGGTCACAWGGCAGGTGTGCATGAGCCTGAGCGCTGCTTCCCAAAAACACACGGCCGGGGAACGGGAGGGCTGGCAGGCTCCRGGGCTGCCACTGCTTTCATCTCCGTCCAGGTTCTGCGCTCTGGGAGTTTGACGTGAGCGCAGCAATTAACTTAATGAAGCCAATGAAATGATGCTCCAGCCCACCAGGCTGGGTTCACCTCCCAGCCAGGGCCTCCCTGCCCCAGCGAGGTGCCCGCGGGGTGAGCAGGCATTGCTGGCACCGTCCCCGAGGCAGGACCCACCCACACACAGCATTCCTGATCCCTCCCTGGCATCCTCCTGATCCCTCCCTGGCATCCTCCTGATCCTCCCTGGCATCCTCCTGATCACGGCATCCTCCTGATCCCTCCCTGCCCTGCACGGGCAGCAGCCAGGGGCTCTTGCAGCCCTCCCATGCCAAGGACAAGCTGCTGGCCCTGTTTGGCTCATTTGAGGCGCAGAGGGGCTGCAGGAGCTTGTGCCAAGGGGGTGAGGAGGAGTTTGGGGACAGGCTGGGAGCGTGGGGTGCTGGGGCATCCCGGTATTGAATGCCTGGAGCAATCTGGTTCTGGATCCTTGGAGCATCCCAGTGCAGGGTCTCACAGCATCCCAGCACAGCTCCAGCTTCCTGGGGCACTTGGAGRAGGGAGGGGACAGTCCCTGCACCCTGGACAGCCCCTATTCCGTGCCAGCCCTCACCTGCTCCTCTTGCCTTCCAGACATCGATGAGTGCTCCTTTGACCGGACCTGYGACCACCTCTGCATCAACACCCCCGGCAGCTTCCAGTGCCTCTGCCACAAGGGCTACACGCTCTACGGGCTCACCCACTGTGGAGGTAGGGCCGGCCGGCTGCTGGCAGCCTGTTTACCCACGGTCACCCCGCCTGTCACCCTGCCTGTCACCCCGCCTGTCACCCCGCCGGGCTCGGGTCCCAATGGGGCTGCTGTGGGACACCTGGGGACACTGCTCACCCCAAGAGCCCGTGGGGAAGGTCGGTTCCACGCACACCCCGGGCTGAGGCCAGGCAGGGAGGGGGYTCACAGCCAGACTCGCTGGTGTCTGCAACTTCAAACAGAGCGACAGGAACAATTTGCGACTTGTCTGCAGCGGGAGAGAGGGAGAAATCCCCGGCGTTTTTGGCAGGGAGCTGTGACGGGGTGGGAAGGRGAACATCAAAAGGATTTGATTTAAATTTCACAAGGCAGATAGCTCCCAAGGGCGGGGGCGTGCTGCGCCCGGGAAGCGGGGAGGCAGATGAAACATGCTCTGCAGGGGCTGCCGAAGCGTGTCGTGGCAGCGGTGCCGGCGGCCCGGGGTGGCGAGCTCGGGTGCTCCAGTGCTGCCCAGCTGGCGAGGGTTGGCGACCTTCCTCGAATTCCTCACACAGTCAGAGTGAGCTGGTACAGCCCCCGGGATGCTCTCGGGGTGACCCCCCAGCAAAGGGATCGATGGCTCCCACCCATGCCCCAGCAAAGGGGAGCTGGGCACGGAGGGCTGTGGCAGCGCCATCCCTGGCTGTGCTTCGTGCCAGACCTAAAGGATCAACGCCCCGTTTGAGACAAGGGCAGAGGGTCCCTGCTGAGGACAGCGACAGGGCTGCTGAGCTGCTGCCTTTTGTGCTTCCATGTCCGCTCCATCTGCTGTCCCTGCAGCCCACCAGGGGCCGGGGCCGGGCTCAGCCTGGATAGGCTCTACCCATCCCTGCCCAGCCCTTGGGGACACTGAAAGCCAGGGTGTCCCTGTCCCCACGGAGCTGGCAAAGCTGTGGGGAGGTGGCACTGCTGGAAGTGGTGCAGATCCCCCGTCCCGTCTGGGAATGGATTTATCCATCCAGAATCCCAGCCCTGAGACAGAGCAGTGATTCAGTGTCAGGTTGGGGGTCCCGCTGCCCCTCACCCACTGCCCCTCACCCACTGCCCCTCACCCGCTGCCTCTTCCTTTCTCCTGCAGACATCGACGAGTGCAGCATCAACCGGGGTGGCTGCAAATTTGGCTGCATCAACACTCCCGGCAGCTACCAGTGCACGTGTCCTGCTGGCTGCAAGCTGCACTGGAACAAGAAGGACTGTGTGGGTACGTCGGAGCCCCCACAGCTGCTGGAGGAATTGGGGGATTTGGGATGCCAGGCTGGGATCCCTCTGCCATGCTCTGGCAACCCTGTCCTCCYCGGTGAATGCCCCATGAGCTGGAGGGTGCAGAGATCCCTCCTGTGTCTCTGGGCTGTGCCAGCTATGGGTATCCCTGATTGTCATCACCAGCTGGTGCGTGTCCCTTGGAGCTGGTGAAGTGCCTGCCAGGTTCGGTGCCTCCACGGGCCACCCTCACCTGCAACAAGACAGGCAAGAAAGACAGCTGTGCCCTTTCCTGCACCTCCAAGGCGCGATTTCTGCCAGGTACCGGTGCCAGTGCCACCACCAGCACRGGCAGGGGGGTCCCCATTTCCCTGCCTGGTCCAAACTGAGGGGAGAGGAGTGACTCCACAGCCAGAGTGCAGTGGCTGAGGGAGGGAGGGAAGGCTCCTCAGGAGGGCTCATTGCTGGGTGTGGATCCATGGGTGTGTCCGTGGTGCAGGATCTCTGTGTCAGGGGCAGAGCATCATCCCCCCATGGCACAGCCATGCCCCCCTGCATCACCCTGGCACAGGCACCTGCCTTTCCTCCCTCACAGAGTCGGACAGCAGCTACACGGTGAGCTGTGGCACCCCCGTCCTGCGGCAGGGYRGCCAGMACAGAGCCGCCAACARCAGCCAGCAGTGCCTCGGTAAGGGRGCACCCAGGGCACCCACAACCACCACCAGTGTGGCCAGGCCACGCCGGGTTGCTGAGCACCCACCTTTTCTTTCAGAGACTGTGGCTGCGCCCGTCAAGCAGAAGGCTTCCTTCAAGATCAAGGATGCCAAGTGCCACCTGCACCCGCGGGCCAAGGGCAAGCAGGACGAGGCTGGGAAGGCTGGGACGCAAGGTGAGGGGTKATGGGGTGATGGGGGTGCCTGTYCCCTGGCAGGGATGGGGTGCTGACCTGTCCCCTGCATGCAGGGGGCTCGGCACCATGCTCTGACTGCCAGGTCACCTTCGTCAACCTCAAGTGTGACTCGTCCAAGAAGGGGAAGGGGCGCCGGGCTCGCAACTCCCCCAACAAGGAGGTGACRCGCATCACGCTGGAGTTTGAGGCAGAGATCAAGCCAGATGAGATCACAGGTGAGCACAACGCTGGCCTGGCCTGTCATGGGTGGTGACACCAGGGACAGACAAACATCATCCTCATGCAGCAGGGACAGACAAACCAATCCTCATCTTGCACCAGATTGGGATGTGYTGGGTAGCACTTGCAACCAAGCATTTTGGGGATGGTTTTAATCCTTCTGGGCTTCCCTCCCCATCCCTCCCTTCTTACTGCATCCATTTCCCCCTGTACCCCCATTCCCCTCTGCATCCCCCAGCCAGCTGCAACCTACACTGCCTGCGACAGAGAGTGGAGAAGAAGCTGAAGTCGGCCATCAAAGCCCTGAAGAAATCCATCAACCAGGAGCGTTTCCTGCTGCGCTTCGCGGGGATGGAGTACGAGGTGGCCCGGAAGCTGAGCGTGGCCCCGGAGCGGCAGGAGAGCTGCGGGCCCGGCCAGCAGCGCCTGGCCAGCAAGTGTGGTAAGGAGYGTGGTGGGGTGACGAGGGGACCTGGTGGTGACAGCCCCCACAGCATCACCGACGTCCCCCCCCGCTCTCAGTCAGCTGCTCGCAGGGCACCTATTACCACGGGCAGACGGAGCAGTGCGTGCCCTGCCCCCCYGGCACCTACCAGGAGAAGGAGGGGCAGCTCTCCTGTGACCTGTGTCCCCGCGGCGACACCTTCGGGCCCATGGGAGCCACCAACATCACCGGCTGCACGGGTAAGGAGGGCACAGGGTGGGGCTGGAGGCACTCGGGGATGGCCAGGGCTGCAACCTCAGCATGAGCCAGAAGAGGGGAAAGCCTTGAGCATATCCAGGGCCCACAGGAGTTGCTGTTTTGGGTGTTTAGCACTTAGAGGGGACCCTGGGAAGAGCAGCACTTGCTCTGGATGTGCTGGTGCTGCCAAGGCTGAGGGGGAAGAGGATCTGGGGATGGGGCAGGAGAACCCTGGGCATGTGGGGTGCCAGGACGGAACAATGCCTGTGCCTGCAGGTCAGTGTCCCCCTGGCCAGTACTCTGCTGATGGCTTCAAGCCCTGCCAGCCGTGTCCCCGTGGGTCCTACCAGCCCGAGGTGGGCCGGGCACTCTGCTTCCCCTGCGGCGGGGGGCTGACCACCCGCCACGAGGGAGCCCTCTCCTTCCAGGACTGCGACACCAAAGGTAGGTCAGAGCCGCTCCCCGGGAAGGGGCCACCCCGCAGGGCTGTGCCAGCAGCTGACACAGCCCCCTGTGCTCCCTGGCCCCCCAGTGCAGTGCTCCCCTGGGCATTACTACAACACGAGCGTCCATCGCTGCATCCGCTGCGCCGTGGGCACCTACCAGCCCGACTTTCGGCAGAATTACTGCATCTCCTGCCCTGGCAACACCACCACCGACTTCGACGGCTCCACCTCCGTGTCCCAGTGCAAAAGTAGGCGAGCTGGGGGCAACAGAAGGGGGRACAGACATGGGGTGTTTCCTCAAAAGTATTTAAAAATCCTGTAAAATAGAGTTCGGGGTCATTTTAGTGCTTTGTATGCACAGGCAGGCATGGGGGTTGCCTAATGGAACACTGGCCCTTTTGTCCAGTAAACCATGTCCCCCCCAGTGCCCCAAAGGCACTGGCTCCCATCTGAATGGCTCTCCCTGCCCTGCAGACCGGCAGTGTGGAGGGGAGCTGGGTGAGTACACGGGCTACATCGAGTCCCCCAACTACCCGGGGAATTACCCCGCCAAYATCGAGTGCACCTGGAACATCAACCCCCCGCCCAAGCGCAAGATCCTCATCGTGGTGCCGGAGATCTTCCTCCCCTCTGAGGACGAGTGTGGCGACGTCTTGGTCATGCGGAAAAACTGTAGGTAACCGAGCGGGCCGCGGTGCTCAGGGGGGTGGGGGGAAAGGTTGGGGTTTGGCAGAGCTGCCTGGTGCAGCAGGAGGTGAATTTTGGGAATAGGGTGAGCGGGGAGAGCAGCATCACCCTCCCATCTGGGTGCTTTGCTGGATCTCAGGGGATGTGCATGGGCCAGGCTGCCCACCTGGGCATCAGYGTTCATTTTGGGGGTAAAAAGCCCCATTTGGAGCTTTCCAGAGCAAGGAAAGGATAACAACATCCCTGGTATATAACAGGAGGGCTGGGAGGGCTCAGCCTTGCCCCGCTCAGACAGTTCCCATCCCTGGTGCTCCCATGGCCCAGTAAGGCTGGGGGTAGCTCTGCTGAGGGCAGCCAGCATCCCGTGTCCCCTTGGTGTTCCCTGCAGCCTCCCCATCCTCCATCACCACCTACGAGACGTGCCAGACCTATGAGAGGCCCATTGCCTTCACCGCCCGCTCACGGAAGCTCTGGATCAACTTCAAAACCAGTGAAGCCAACAGTGCCCGGGGCTTCCAGATCCCCTATGTCACCTATGACGGTGAGCACAGGGTACAGGGAGATCCCAGCCATCCCAGCATTCTGGTGCCCCCCACCCCAGTTTGGGACCCAGCTTACCCCTAATTCTCACCTCCTGTGTTTTTGGGGGGAGTAGACTGCAGGAYGGGGTCAAAAGATTTGGGGACAAGTGGCAGCTCGTGTCCTGACTGTGTTTTTYGGCAGAGGACTACGAGCAGCTGGTGGAGGACATCGTGCGGGATGGAAGGCTCTACGCCTCCGAGAACCACCAGGAGATCCTCAAGGTGAGCGGTGCCCCCAGGGGATGTGGGGGATGCTGGAACATCCCTGCCCCAGGGCTGTGGTACCCTGGCTTTGGGGGATGCAGGAGCATCCCTGCCCCAGGGCTGTGGTACCCCAGGCCGTGTGGGATGCTGGAGCCCCCCTTCCCTGTGGGGGTACCTCCTGCTCTCCTTGAACCCATAGCTTCAGTTCAGGGGATGCTGAATCTCCCTCTGGCTCGGCTTCCCTGCAGGACAAGAAGCTCATCAAAGCTTTCTTCGATGTGCTGGCACACCCCCAGAACTACTTCAAATACACGGAGAAACACAAGGAGATGCTTCCCCGCTCCTTCATCAAACTCCTGCGCTCCAAAGTCTCCAGCTTCCTCCGGCCTTACAAATAGCCCCCCGCGCCCCCGCCGCCCCAGGCCGCCCCGCAGCCAAGGAAACCCTCTCCTCCTTTCCTTCTCCTTTCTGATTTTTCCTTCCTCCGCCTGGCTCCGGCAGGATCGCCACTGCTCGCCCCCCACGATTTCCCTGCCGCTCCCTGCAGAGCTGCGCTCCGGTCTCATCCAGCCGCCGGTGAAGCCGCTCCCCTCTTCCGAAGCAGCTTCTTCCAAGGTTTTAGGAAACTGAAGTACCGGTCCTTTGGCTGTCCTCTGTCCTCCCTTTGGTTTCCTTTAGGCCAGGTCTGTCCCCGTTCGTTGGTGCCACCAGCAGCCCAGGACAGTGTGGGSGTCCCTGTCCGTGCAGCCCCCGGGGCTGGCGCCGGCTGCGGTCCCCGGAGCCCTCGCAGAGTGGCACAGGAGGTGACACCGTGTCCACCGCAGCGCCAGGCCCCGGCTACCGGCGCCGCTTTGCAGAGGTCAGGGYGGGGGAAGAGAACTGACAAAGCCGACTTGATTAGAAAGGAAATGCGAAGGAGAGACGGCAAAGCCCACCAGCGCGGCACCGTGGTGGCTCTGTCCCGCTGGAGAGCCGTGCTGGTGCTGGGAGGGAAGCGCAGCCAAGCCACGTTCCCGGAGAACAATGTCTGGCTGCACGGGAGAAAACAGGGAGCAAAGGAGAAGGACTTTCAGCCGGGTTCGATTTTTATTTTTACCCCCCCTACCCCAGACACTTGTGCCAAGAAACCAGACTTTTTTACAAGCTCTGCCAAAGAGTAACTCGGAAAAGCAAGCTTTGAGAAGAGCAGGAGTTAATGTTTGTGCACTAGGATATCCTCCTTTCTACCTTTTTCATATGTATTAAGTGCAATCATTTGAGTCTTCCTTATATTATTTAGAGGGAAGTTGTTTGTTTTTTTGGTTTTTTTTTTTTTCTACTAGAAACGACAATATTTATAACTGCCTGAGAAATGAGAATGTGTGTTTGCAAGAAAACAAAAACCATCCACCCAGAGCAAGCCCAGCCCTGGGCTGCGCTGACCAGCGTGATGGCAACTTCAGGCCTTTTCTRCCACATTTGTCCCCGATAAAACCCCATGTCTTGGGGGGGAGACGGTGCCTCTCCTGCTYGGTGCAATGGGGTGAGTTTTTGCAGGGAGTTGGAGGTGTCTTGGTCCGTCCATGGGGGATGGAGCTGAGTCTTTTGGGACTGATCCGCCACGGTTTGGGCGATGCGAGAGGGATCAAAATTCTGCCGTGTCACCTGCTTGTTGCAAACTGATTTGCTTCCCTGCAGGGCTCAGGGACGAGCCAGCAGCTGCTGAGGCTGGGTCTGGGGGGCAYGCTGGGAGGAGAGGGGAGCTGACCCTCCACTCAGCCCCAAAATCTCTCCCCCAGGTACAGAGATCCCTGGAAGCAGAGCCACCCTCCCACACCTGGGGAGGTTTTGTGCTTCTGAGTCCCACCAGGCATTTTTGGCCCCGTCCCTCTGCGTGTTCTCACCCTGCAGCGATGCTGTGGGAGCCCCTCCCCCGGGAGTGGGGTGCAGATCCCAAGGGAGAGCCATCCCATCCCGATTTCACTGCCCTCTGCCTCCCCCCAGCTTTGCAGGCTCAGCTGGGGCCGATGGCCAGGGGGACGCCACTGGTGGGTTTGTCCCCCTGGCATCTTCATGTGGATGGACAGGACTCCAGGGACAGGCAACTGCTGCCACCACTCACCCCTCCAACTACTCCCTGGGCCTCCCTACTTTTCCAGCCCTGCCACCGGTTCTCAGCTGTCACCTTCCCCACACCTTCATCTCCATCTTCATCCTSTCAAACACCTGGAGCTGCCAGGACTAAACATGGTCGACTTCTCTGTAGCTYTGCCACTTCYCATCCCTGTCCCCATTGTCYCTCACTGTCCCTTTGCCCGCACCTGAGCCCAACCCTGCTTTTAACAAACCAATTATTTATTGCTCTGAGCATCCCACTGGGTCCTTTCTTCTTGCTTCTGGGGGAGGCAGCTGCTTGCCCATTTCCCTCCTCGCTCCACACTGCTCCAGCACCCCAAGAGCCTCTCCCGGGCTCTGTGAGGGGCTGCGGGCKGGCTGAGCACTGGCACAGGGGCTGAGATTTGTCCCCAAGATGCGTCAGTTGGAAAAGTCTGTCCTGATTCATCCCAGCTGTGGATTTTCCCCTCCTGCYGCCGGCTCCCAGCCTGTTTGGAAGCTCCACATCTGCGGGCTGAGCTGTTTGTCACTTGGTCACTGTCTGAGAGCAGCTGCTCTAATGCACAAAAGCTGCTGGAGGGATCTGGAGGGGTTTTGTGGCTCTGGGACAGTGGCGCAGGCCAGTGACCTTTGAAAGGGTCCTTCATATTTAGGGGGAAAAAAAACAGCAAAAATGAAACCGGCCCAGAAATGACCAACCCTGGAGTGCCACAGCCCCTCATGCCCTCTGCAGTGTCCTTTCAGTTTGTTTAACTCTGGCTGGTCCAAGGTGGGGCATCAGGGCCTTGGAGTGTCCTGGTTGTCACTCTTGTCACTACACCAGCCACCTCTGCTCCCCTAAAGCAGTTCTGGAATGATGAGGTGGGCAGCACATGCCCCTGGAACAGCCAAAGGCACCTGGCAACGGTGCTTCCCCCTTCTTTTACCAAACAGCTCMAAAAAGCCCCAAAATTCCACAGGGCCCCTGGAGCTGCCCACCCCACCGAGGCTCAGCCCTGCTCCTCACCCACCCCCACCTCAGAAAGGGTTTGAAAGGCTGAAACCCACATCAGCCACCTCGGGGATCAAGGTTTTGAAGCTGTCAAGAGAAATGAGAGTTGTTGGGGTTTGGGGTTGTTTTTTTTTTTTTTTCCATGTTGGAGTATTTATATCTGCCTTTTGCAGCGGGCCAGGACTTGCCATCTCCAGCAGAAACGATTAAAGTGATGAGCAAGATGTAGTTCATGAAGTTATTTGCACTTGATTAAAAGAAAAAAAAATGTTATTTGAACTTTGTAAAAAGAAATGTTTGCATTTTGTATTGTCTTTTTTTAATTATTAAATGGAATTTCTTGGTGTTGTGTTGATCTTTCAAAAATTGGCTCTGATGCTTATTTTAAAGGTTTTTAACAGCAGGATCCAGAGCTATTTTCATTGTTTTGTTCCCTCAGATGCTGACAAGCTTTTCCAGGGCCCAAAATATTTTYTCCCCCTCCAGAAGCTTAAACCCTGCACTTTCCTAAGCTCTTCACTCCCCACACAATGCATTTATTTACATGCATTAATTAGATTCAACAAATTTCATTTTTAGCCCAGAACATGGAGTTAAGACAGACTGCCTCAGAGGGAAGAGGGGATGGAAAACACAGTAGCTCGGGCCCAATCCCTTTGCTGGGCTGCAGCTCCATCCCTCAGCACCCCTGGACATACAATGTCTCAGGGACTGCACCTGGGCAGGTGAGGGGCAGCACAAAGCTTTAAATGCAAGTGCCCCTTATCAGCCCTCTCAGTCAGGCTGGGCTCTGCAGGACTTGGGTGAGCTCTGCAACAGGTAAGGAATGGTCCTCTCTGTGAGCACAGGGGGAATCTGGGGAGCACAACCCAACTGCTGAACCTGCACCTGCTGGGACACCTCTGCTCTGGGGGTGTGTGGAATCCTTCCCCCTACTCTGAGTCCAGGGGAGATGAGGHCCCTTCCCTTTAAAGCTCCAATATCCCACTTGGAATTCACATCTCTATTACAAACACAGCATCTGAGGCATCCTTCACTAGAACTGAACTCTTTGGCAACCCTTCCCCGAGGAGCTCTGGAGGAACAGAACCACACACAGCTGTGGGGGTGTCCACAGAGTTTATTGCTGCCCCCCTTTAGTAGAGGCGCTGGGGTTTCCCCATGGTGCTCTTGATGTACAGAGCTCGCACGTTTTGCCAGTTCTTCTTCAGCAGAGACACCARGAAGTTGATGGCCAGGTGGATGTTGTAAACCAGCTCATCCTCTGTCATCTTCACGTGACCGACAGCCACAGCCAGACAGAGCACCTGGGGACAGACACGGGGACAGCTGTCACAGCTGGGGACACGTGACCAGTGCTGACCCACCATCAGTGTGCTGGACTGTGCCATGGTCTGGACACTGGACACAGCTTTCCCAGGGCCCCCTGCTCCTGGCCCTTGGCTCCCTGTGCCTGTAGCACCTGGATGTCACTTCTGACACTCACAAAGGTGACTGGGTGAGCTGGGATACCAGGAAGGACATGTGACACATTGTCAGGAACCAGCAGGGGAGCCAACCTCGGGGTTAACCCCGCTCTGCCAACATCAGCTTCACTTTCTGCATTTGGTGCCAGCCCCCAGCCCTCTCTCTCTGCACTGTGACAGAGGCTGAGCCTCCTCCCACCCTGCTTTCCCCAGCAGCCTGGRAGTCAACGCTCCCCACAGGCTGGAGGCAGAAGGATTTACGAGCAGGCCAACAGGCCAAGTGGCAGGACATCATTAGCTCAGCTATTTTAAAAGCTCAAGCATTTGTAAACCCTCACATCTGCTGTGTCCTCCAAACTGTGCCCTCAGGAGTCACACTTGACCCACTGACACAGGATTAAGATGCCTGAACAGGGTTATTTTGGTTTTAGGGAGTCAGCTTGCCTCGACAGCAAGAGCAGATCCCTGCAGAGCTGCTCCCAAGCTCACTTGGACAGAGTCAAGTCCCAGACTTGCCCCCGGCAAAGCCCCACTCACACTGAGCCCTCCAGGGACATGCCTGGCTGGATCCCACTCTGTGAGCATCACCCACATGCTGGGAGAAGCATTAATTACACTGCATTGTGCTCAGCACTGAAACATCAAATCATCTCCTCATCATTTACTCCAAGATCTGTCAACCACAGAGGAATTATTCCTCCTTTCTGTCTGGCCACAGAACACCCTGGGTACCATCTCCCTTTGCTGGAGGAAACCAGCTTCGGGAACACTCGAGGGACACCTACAGCCCAGCCTGGAGATGGCAGAGACAGAACAACCCCCAGCTACACAAACTAAAGCCGTGCTTTACCTTCTTCATCTGAAACTTGATGGTCGATTTGACCTCATCCACCTTGGCCACCAGGTTCTCGTTGTGGGTGAGTAGAGAAGGGAATTTCCCGGCTTTGTTCAGACCCGGGCCCAGGATTCGAGGAATTTGCTTGATCAAGGACTCGGAAGCCAGGAAGGCATCGTACTTCTTAGCTGCAAGAGAGAACCAAGGAGGTAATGACAGACCCTGCTCCCAGACAAAGCTCCAAACAAGGGACTCAGCTGAGAACACACAACTCCACCTCCTCTCACAGACAATTCCAACAATGCYTGGATCCCACCTGAACTGGTTTTGCCAAAATCTTTTAAGAAGTGATTGTCACAGCAGCCAAGCCCCAGCCCCACTTAACTCCAAATGGTGCATGGCTTGTTCCCTGAAGGAATTGTCCTTTGCTGACCCCCAGGTGACACTGAATTCTGAGCTCTACAATGAGCCTCCTGCCACAGCCTGTGCCCASTGAGATGGATGGCATGGGTGGGATACAGATGGATGATCCACACAGGACAGGCTTAGCTAACACCACGGTGTCATTTCCTAACTGCACATAAGTTGCACAACTGACTATGGGTTGAGAGGCAAGTCCCTGTCTGCCTGAGGAATGTACCAAAGTGACTCTGGAGTTTGTCAGGATGAAAAGGATTTTCTCTCTGACCACGAGAAAATAAACAAATTTCATTCTGTTCCCGTAAGAGCTGCAGGACTAAAGCACACCCTTGCTTCTAGTGTTTCTCTGCTTTTGCTGCCCTCCAGCTCCCCAACCAGGAAAYTGAGGGACACAGCGAAGGGTGAAACTGTGTCAACAAGGACGCTTTCCTGTGTCCCTCCCTTCCTTCTGCAGGACAACCAGCCCCATTCCAGCAATCCTGACCTGTCAGACCCACACTGGGAACAGCCTGGTGGCTTTTCTAGGTAGTTTGTGGGCAGATTTTGGTATTGGGGCTGACTCTGCTCACCTTTCCACCTCTGCAACTAACCATGACRTGCAAATCTGACTACAGTGAAAAGYCTTATCGATACTCACCCAGYTTCTTCACCAGYTTCTTGTTTTTGTTGAGCTTCTTCAGAGCTTCTATGTCCATGTGAGGGATGTCAACTGCTTTGGCYTCATCGCAGTGCTGCTGGTCTCCCAACAGACAGACCGAGAACTTGGGCCGTGGCGTTGACTTCAACCTGGGGAAGGAAGGGAGGAAGATCCGAGTCAGTGAGGTGCCAGCACCACCCRCGTGTCCATGGAGCCAGCACGGAGACACCTTACCACAGCGCGGGGCATCCTGCACAGCCGCTCACCTGCCGTCCCCAGCAGGCCGGTGGGGACAGCCCGGGGGCTGCCGCACCTCCCCTCATGTTTTAAGACCCAGGGTGAGGGTCCGTCCAGCCGCTCCCACTGGGCCGGGGCGCGCTGGACTCCCCAAGCGGTTCGGCGCCGCGGCGGCCCCGAGCAGGGCCGGGCAGGGCCGAARGCTGGGTAGGAGCGAGAGGATGGCGAACCTGACGGTACCGGAGAACCGCTTGTCCTTCTGCGGGTCATARTTCTTGAGGCTGATCTGCAGCTCCACCGTCTCCACGAACCTGCGGGAGGCAGAGGGTGAGGCCCGGCCGGGCGTGGAAGGGGGGAGGCCAAGGCCGGGGGTGACATGCCCGGTCCCGCCGCGTCTGCGGCTCTTACTTGCGCTTCTTGGCACGGCTGCCATGCAGCACCTCCTTCACCGCCTCGTACAGGGTGTCCCGGGACACTTTGCTGCTGCGGGGGGAAACGACAGCGCGGGCTCAAGGCCGGCCCCGCTCGGGATGCGGCCCCGAGCCCGCCCCGGCCCCCGCGCGTTCCCCCCGCGCTCGACCCCGTTCGCCGCGCCCCAYCGGCCACCCGGACAGCCCCGCAGCTGCCACCGGGTGCGGATGGCCGCGGATGGCGACCGATGGTGCAAAGCGGACACCGAGACAAACGCACCTCATGGCGGCGGCTGCTCGGACCGAAGGGGCGGGAACGCTTCCGGCACGATATAAATAGGGCCGAGATCTCGCGAGACTCAAGCGCTCCGCACGGCGCCATATTGGGAGTGGCGGCAGGGGGCACTACAGAGCCGCCATGGTGGGAGCGGCGGGGAGAGGTGCGGCGGGCACCGGCGTCCCCCGGCTGCCCTCGGCGGGCGGCCCGTCCGCATCTCCTTCCTTGTTAAATGACCAGCCGGGATCTCTTTGCYTCCTGTCTTGGGCCAGCAGGACAGGAGCTCCTGCATCGCTTCACAGCATATCCCAGGAAGCCCGGGCTGGCCTCAGCAGCCGCCGGGAAGGAGAGGGGACGCGTGAGGAGCTGGCGGGACAGGCTGGGCGCGGGCGGCAGCGCTGTCCRTCACTGACAGCGGGCAGGTACAGCCGGCAGCCCCAGCCGGGCAGCGCAAGGGAGAGCTTTGCCTCGTTTCTTCAATGTTGGCGCCGCCCGCTGCGCCCCGCGCATTGGCCGCCCGGCGGCGCGCTCTCCCGGCCCGGCCCGCCCCGGAACCTGTATGGCGGGGGGGCGGTGGCTGAGCGCGGGCGGGAGCGCCGCCGCTATGCGGGTTGCGGGGTGGGTGGGGCCGGCCGCGGTGCACGTCGGTCCGGCGGCGGACCCGGGCCCGGCGGGTAGCTCAGGTCGGTGTGGGGGATGGGGGGGCGGCGATGGTGGCCGGGCCCGGGGAGCCGCCTCAGCGCCCGGGTGCTGCTCAGGGTGAGCTCCCCGTGCCCTCCGTCACCCCCGGGCCCTGCCCGTCCCTCCGCGCTGCACTCACAGCCCGTACCGGCGTTTCCCCGCTGTGTGAGGGCCGCCGCAGCASCCCCGGGGGAAGGCCCGGGAGCCACAACCGGGTGCGGGGAGCGCGGGGCGAGGCCTCGAGTGGCGGCGGGGACGGACGGGGCGGTTCGCCTTGTTCCTGGAAATCAAACGATAAATTATTTGGCTATCTCGGAGGTCGCTCGTGAAGAACGCGCTGTAGCTCCTTTGAAAGATAGCCTATCAGCAGAGAGTCTCTTTAGGAAAATGTTCTTGTGGGGGTGTGGAGGTTTTAGCATCATTTGCTTAGAGCCTGAAATTCYGTCTCTCAAAAGGCTGGGAATTAGTCGGGAAAGGGAGAAGGAGGGTGTTTCCAGGGATATAGCTCATCATCCTAACCCTGTCTGCTGCAGTACGGGACATGCTTAGCCTGTAGGTTCAGGATTTGAAATACTTTAAAATCCTGCAGATCATTTGGAGGATGGGAAGGGCTTGAATGTGACATTTATACTGTCTCTAAGATAGAGTTTGTCAGTTCACTGGTGTGATAAGCTTTATTTTATATTTGGCTGTGGAATAGATTGTTATCCACGCCTGCCCTTAGTGTGGGAAGGGTACAGCATTGTTCACCTTAATCCTTTATAACCTCAAAAGTTTTTTGAGGCCATTCAAGCCTTTCCTAGCATGCAAAAGTGGAAAACTAAAGGAGAAGGAGAAACTAAGGAGTGAAATTAAAACTAAATTGTTCTTTTTACTTAAGGCTCACAGCAAAGACATCGATCCTGTGTCCCGCAGGCCCCTGGCTCTGGGCCCCGGTGCTCCCAGGCAGGATCCATGTGTGAGGAGTCRGGGTGGGATGGAGAGCCTGGGGCTGCCAGCAGTGACCCTTGGGGATGGGACCGCAGCCTATCTGCAGCAGGCTGGCAGAGGTAACGGAGCCTCAGGCTCAGAGTCTCTTCCTGGCTCTGAAATTCAAGTCAGACTCACCAAAATTGCCCCTCATGGCATGGGAGCTGCCACACGTGTGTGGCCACTTTGCACAGGCAGCTAGCAACTGTTGGATTTGCACCGAAGTCTRATGTAAAATAAAATAAAAATCAAACATGTTTCTGGTTTGGAAATGAAGCTGTGGAGGTAGGAGAGCTGTTGCTGTAGAAAATAAAAGTGMTGTTCAGATTAGAAGAGCTCTGTTTTCTCCAGGGCTGCTGTGGAAATGGACCTGATGCTGTGGCCTGCAGGGCTCTGCTCCACCAAAACTTCCCTGGGGTGGTTTTCCATCAGTGGTGTGCACAGGGTTTGGTTCACAGCAGTRCTTTTCTCACTCAAAGAGGTGCCAAATTCAACACCTGCCCTTCCTGTGGTGTTTGTGAGATGCTCCTTTCTCTACCACCCACTGTTCCTAGGAAGAGGAATGTGCTGTTTCCCAGCCTGCAGAACAGGATGGAGGAGTTGTGTAGCTCCATGTCCTGGGAGTTGCTCTCCTGCTTCATTTTCTGTACAAACTCACTGGAAGTTTATTACACCTGTGGAGCTGGACTGTCTGGGAACCACCAGGTTGTGTGACCCCTCCTCAAACCTTATGCTCCAGGTGAAACCAACCTGGATTCTCCTTGTTCAGGGGGATGTAGCAATGTCCTCTCTGCATCAAGTCATTGGGTAACTAAGTCATTGTTACAGTCTTGCAGAGTCAGCCTTTGTAAGAGCTCAGTCTCCACAGCACAGCACTGGCAGCACTTTAGGCCCCTTTAGGTGCTGTAATTTTTCTCCAAGGGTTCATCCTCTGCCAAAGCAGAAGATAAATCTCCAGGCACTTGCTGATGCCACTCAGAGCTCCCAGCTGATTTTTTCTTTCCACACAAGTGTAATTGCTTTCTCTGTATGCTCAGTGTTTCTGCTCCTTGGCATGAGGAGCTGTGAGGAGCAGCTCCTCAAAAAGTGATGCCTGAGGGTCTGTCATGTGTCTGAAAGAAAAGAGCAATGCCAGCATTTTGGGGAAGTGCCTCTGTAGGGTAAAGCTGATTCATAACAGCCTAGAAATTACAAATTCTCCCTTTTATGGGACTGTGGGAAGCATGTGGGACAGAGGGACTGGGCTCAGCAGCTGATGGCATGTTTTAACTGTTCCAGGTGAAAAGCTGATTGAAGGGCARGTCATTGAACTGGAAGATGGGACCACAGCTTACATCCATCAGGTGACAGTTGAGAAAGGTGAGGAACACTCATTCCCCTCCTTTTTGGAGGGATACTGTGGCTGCAGCTCTCAATGCCCCAGCACTCGGGCTCCTCTGGCAGCTCCAGCTCTCAGAAGTCCATGTGAGTGTAGGGTTTGTGTAGGGTTTTTCTTGTTCGTGGTTTTGAGGCTGAGTAAACAAGGACGTGGAATAAGTGATTTCCTGCAATATTTTTAGCAACCTGACAAGAAGGTGAATTGGGTGGAGGTGGAGACAAGCATTTTAGTGTCACGGGTTCTCCCTGATGTCAGTCTGACAGACCACAAGCCCAGTGAGCCAGCCACAGAGCACGCACACGGTTTGTTTYATGTGGGAGCAGCTGGGCAGGAATTTCCTCTGAACTGTGATAATATATTATTTCTGGAGTAGGTGTTGGTGGGGGTCATGTTGGGAACAATGCCACCCTGGTCACTGACCCATCACCAAATGTCACCTCCAAAATTAGGTGACATTAGTCTGAGAGATATTGGGAATTCATTTTGTGTGGCACAGAGGAATCCTCCCTGGCCATACTGAGATGCAAAAGGGCAGCTAGAAAGAGCTCTGTTACTTTGGGCAGTCCTTCCTTGACCCTCCCAAGCTCCTTGTATGCCACCTTCCTCTTCCCTATTCTTAAAAGGCTGCTTGAAACCCATTTTGTATATATGGCTGTGCCCCTTTCCCCTMTTCATCCTCTTCCCTGCCTCCACATGCACAGGGAGAGGGGTTTTTCTTCTCATCCCTGCTTCTCCTGCCATGGGATATTTGTGTTGTTCTTCACACACCCCTGTGCYGGAGCCATCCTTCTTGTCCTGGATATAATCTGGCATTTTGAAATTGGCAAAACACTGCAGTGCTCTGAGCAAAGGAAGTGGCAAATCTCTGCATGAAGCCTTGAAAACCTCATCATTCGCATCAGGAGGGCTCAAATGGTGTCTTGAAACCTACAGCTGAGGTTATGTTTCAGAGGAAGCAAGCAGCCCTGTGTCCCCTCCTGCCTGGTGGCCTGAACTGCCACGCTGTTCCCCCATTCTGAGTCCTCCAGGAAGGTGTGTGGATGTATTTCTTTTCTTTCAGAGGCTGTTGCTTTTGAAGATGGACAGCCAGTGGTGCTGGAGGATGGCAGCATGGCCTTCATACACAGCACAGCTAAAGGTAAAGCAGTCCCTGCTCCTTTCCCTGGAGCAGGAGTTGTTGAAGTGTCTCAGATTTCCAAAGCTGGGGAGCTGAAACACTTCTTTTCTGCCCTCACACTGAGCTTTTTTCAGCTGAATTTTTTTCAGCTCTTTATCTGAATGTTTCCTCTTGCAGACAATTACGAGCCTGGCACATTTGAGGCTGTCCAGCTGGAGGATGGCTCCACTGCYTACATCCACCGTCCTGTCATCGTGGCACCTGGCAGCACCATCCTGGAAGTRCAGACAGAAGCTGGGCTCGAGGAGTTGGCTGGGGAGGAGGAAGATGATGGCTTTGATGTGGACACCATTAATGCATTACAGCAGTATGGCAGGAAGGTGAGGGCACCTTCAGCAGTGCTTTTGTGCATCTGTCAGCAGCACCAGCATGGAGAGGAGCAACTGGGCAGAGCTCCAGTGTGCCTGGCATTTGGGGACCCAGGACAGGGTCATTTGGTCCCATGGAATGCTGGGCCTGCCASCCTTAACTTGCTGCAGGCTCAGGTTTGGGGGAGCTGCTGTGATACAGCCTTTGGTGTGTCAGCAGTGGCTAAGCCATGGCCACTGTCCCCATGGTGACAAAGGCCTCAAAAACCAAAGCAGATCCTAATGCTCTGTCATATCACCCCAATATCCTGKGTGCTGCCATTTTCTCCCATGTCCACAGTGCTGTGGAGAAGGGGCTGCCAGGGCTGYGCTGGCATTGCTGAGCTGGGCACAGAYCTTCCTGCCATGGCTGCCTTCCTGCCACAGCTGTCTGGGGAAGGGTGGGGTAGCACTGTGGCTGTCACTGCCTTCCTGCTCCACACTGTACAGGGAGGCCAAACAGTGCCTGTGCTTCTTCACTCACAGGGGTGTGATGAGGAGGAGGAAGGAGTGACAGACACCTGCCACATGAAGAGTGAGGACTCCAGCAACGTCSCTTCCCAGGTCTGAATTTTTCAGTGACTGTAACTCCTCTTTGCCTTTAAAAAACATTGTGGCTTCTCTGCTGAGTTAGCAAATATTAACTGCACATATTTCAAGTGAGCTGAGAAAGGGAGTTACGTATCTGAGAACCCCTAGTGAGGTGGGAATGGGAAATGCAGGTTCCTCGAGCCCTGTCACCTGCATTTCACCGTGTGGGTACAAGCTTGTTTGTAGGAACATGGTTTTGGAGGTTAACTGCAGGAGTGCATATGCATGGCAAGGAGGGAAATATTTGTGTGGGCTTGGTGAAGCTGTGGTGGCTTGCTGGATTAGTTCCTGTGCTTGTATCAGCAGGATTTGCAGGAGGAGGAGGTGCACAACCACAGGAAGGGACAGCAGGTCGGCAGCAGAGCTTTCCGCTGTGGGTACAAAGGCTGTGGCCGCCTCTACACCACTGCCCAYCATCTCAAGGTAAAGCAGGTGACAYGGCAGTGTGCAGAACAGACCTGTCCCAGGGTACAGTGCCAGGGCAGAATGCTCTGTTGTGTGCTCTGTGCAGCTGASTTATGTGCTGAGCTCCCCAAGAAACCCAGATGTGTCAATTGGCCAAGGCAAAGTCCAAGAGGGAACTTCAAAATTCCTTCCACCAGCTACATTTTTCCTTCTTTCTTGCTTTGGACCTCATTTTAGGGCCCTGTTCTTTCTTTTCTAGGTACATGAACGTGCTCACACAGGYGACCGGCCATACACATGTGACTTCCCAAGCTGTGGGAAAGCATTTGCTACAGGTAACAATTCTCTTTTGAGCAGATTTTGTTTTTTCTCTCCAGCCCAACCTCAGCCCTGACTCTGGTCCAGTAGAGCACAATGTCCAGAGCATGTAAAGCCTCACTGAATGAGAGCCCGCTGAGACTTTATTGCTTATGGGCAGATAATGATGAAAGCAAAGTTGGAAGTGGTGTTGGGGGCTGTTTGGACATTTCTTGCTCTTCTTTTCAGATACAATACACTCACATACATGGACTGAGGAGTGGTACACAGCTTGTCACAGTGTTTCCTTCTCATGACAAAATTAATGATGGTCTCTGTCCTGCTCAGGGTATGGGCTGAAGAGCCACGTGAGAACGCACACAGGTGAGAAACCGTACAAGTGTCCCGAAGACATATGCAGCAAAGCCTTCAAAACCTCCGGGGACCTSCAGAAACACATCCGCACACACACAGGTGAGCAGCACCAGGCAAGAACTGCACAGGAGGAGAACGCAGTGAAAGGGTGTGCAGGGCACTGCATGGTGTCAGGTCTCACCCACATCRCTCTGTCAATGCAGGTGAGCGTCCCTTCAAGTGCCCCTTCGTGGGCTGTGGCCGCTCCTTTACCACGTCCAACATCCGCAAGGTTCACATCCGGACRCACACGGGCGAGCGGCCCTACATGTGCCCAGAGCCTGGCTGTGGCAGGGGCTTCACCAGCGCCACCAACTACAAGAACCACGTGAGAATCCACACAGGTAGGAACTGGCCAGCTACCCCTGCCAGCAGTGGGGAGATCCGTGGGGCTGGAATGGGCATTTCCAGGCTTCGTGTTGCAGGGGTGGATCCGAGGGTGGCTAGGGGTTGRAGGAAAATGGGAATTGCTTTATTGGATTGATGGCTGTTCCAGCAGTCTGTCTCCAGCTGTTTGCTCTGGTGGGGAATCCCTCCCCAGGGCATGAGGAGGGTGAAGCTCAGCTCTGTGGCCTCTGCCCTAGGAGAGAAGCCATACCTGTGCACCGTGCCAGGCTGTGGGAAGCGTTTCACGGAGTACTCCAGCCTCTACAAGCACCACGTGGTGCACACGCACTGCAAGCCCTACACGTGCAGCAGCTGTGGCAAGACCTACCGCCAGACCTCCACACTGGCCATGCACAAGCGCAGCAGCCAYGGGGAGCTGGAGGCCACCGAGGAGAGCGAGCAGGCCCTCTACGAGCAGCAGCAGCTGGAGGGTGAGCAGCCACGCCCCCATCAAGGTGTGGCCAAGGGGAGGGAGGTGACAGCAAGARCAGCCACGCCCCTCTCAGACCCAGGTGTGTGCTGTGACCTGTCTGGTCATCAAACYCAGATCTGGTGGAAGGTCCTTGCTGTAAGTCACAGGCTGGGAACAGGCTCCTGCCCATTCTGTAGTACAGGGAGAGGTAAAGGCCCTTCTTCCTAGGCCATCACAGGGCTGGTATCGTGATCTTGTGCTCTTTTGTGCTGGCCCTTGGGGCCACAGGCAGGTCAGGAGGCCAGGCAWGTGCTTTCACACTCTGATAATGCTGCTCTTCCCCTTCTCTGATCCAGCTGCTGCAGCTGCTGACAGAGGCTCCCCACTGAAGGGTCAGCATATTGCATTCCTGTCAGAGATGGAGGAAGATGAAGAGGAAGATGCTTTGCCTACACAGGTCTCGCTTATCTCTCAGGATGGGACAGAGCAGGTACAGACACTGACAGCCTCCAKCATGCCAGGGACAGCAGTTACTATCTGAAGTGAGATTTTGCCTCTATTCAGCTGTGGTGTTCAGGGCCTTTTTTCAGCATTTTCTCACASTTTGGGGCTTCCTGGGCCCTGTCTGCCCTGAGAGCTTCCTCCTACAGCCTCACCCAGTGTTTTTCTGGGGGTTCTTTGATCCTGGTGCCCCTCCTGATAAGGTCTCCAGGTGTTTGTGTGGTGACTGGCAGCCCCTGGCTTCCTGCAGCTCCACAGCTCTGCTGAGCCAGGCTGGATTTGGAGAAGTTTTGTCATTACTGCTTGTATACAGCAGTGCTTTTCTTGTACTTCCCTCCACCAGCTGCCCCTGTGCTGACTATAAAAACTTCCTTCTGTGGCACAGGGCAAAGGAAACAGCTGCCACGAGTGACCTGTTTCCTCTTAGCCTGAGATGCTCCTGCTGCTGCAATGCACAAACTGTCCCTGTGTGCTGTGGTAGAAGAGGCTGAATGGGGAGGGGAGCTGTGATAGAAGGGCAGGGCTCAAGATCCGAGCTCTTGAGTTCTTGTCACTGATTGTGTGCATGACCCAGGGCAAAGTCCTTGGAGTTCTCTGTGCCTTGAGTCTTGCAGAGAGACTGTTTCCTCCTCATCCAGTCCGATGTGCTGCTAAAGTCAGGAGTTGCCTAAGACTCCCTGAGCATCTGTTGTTGTCCCCTAGGTCAGTCTGTCTCAGGAAGAGCTGCAGGCCCTGGGCAGTGCCATCAGTGTGGTGACACAGAGCRGGGCCCTTGCCRTGTCCGAGGAAGAGCTGGCAGGGSGTGACACTGGGACCGTGACTGTGGCCAACACCGATGGCACCGAGGCACAGGAGGTACAAACAAAACTGGGACCGTCCTTGCTTCCTCTGCTAGGAAAGAACAGCATTTTCTTTTAAAACATGATTATCTCAACTTTTCCCAGGTGACCATAGTCRCTTCTGGGGCAGTGGTGTCAGAGGAATCGGACATCGCCCCGCTCTGTCATCAGCAGGTGGCATTGCTGGCCACCCCCAACGGTACCCACATCGCTGTGCAGGTACCACAAGCTCTTGCCACCCTCCCCTTCACTCCCTGGCCACCTGCTGCCTGCAGCACTTGCCCTCTTGCCCTGCTGCATTGCTCCTTGCGTGGGGGGCTTGCTCCTTCATTCCCAGATGCCCGGTGTGCAGAGGAAAGCAGGGACATACTCCTGGGATTGCAGAATGCTCCTTTGTAAACAGCTTTTCTGCATCACAGCCCTGACTGCCCTTCTGCTTCACACCTCTGTCACCCACCCCCTCATCCCTCTGTCCTGCTGCCCTGTGGGGTTTCAACATTCTCTCTCCCTTTTCTCCCCCAGCTGGAAGAGCAGCAGAGCCTGGAGGAAGCCCTCAGCATGGCCACAGCAGTCATCCAGTACGAGCCAGTGCCAGCTGACACAGCCGTGCCTGAGAAGGGGAGCTGAGGCCTGCAGAGCCGCCGGGGCAGGGGGAGTGGCAGCCCCAGCCTGTTGTGTGCAGGGGTGGCGGGTGCTGCAGGCGGGACACGGGGCAGGGATGGTGTCTGAGCCGGTGCCAGCGCGTGCCCTGCGCCGGCCAGGACGCTGACGGGGCAGCACGGGGTGCTGGGGTGACCCTGCCTGAAGGGCTCTTCCCTCCAAGGAGGGAAGGCAGAGATACTGCACTGCTGCCTTYTCCAGGGCTCTGAGCACCAATCCTGTTTTCAGGGGGGCACTTCCTGCCCTCTCCCTCTAGGAATGGTCCAACAGCTCCCCTTTCTTGCCCACCCCTCCAGCTCAGGGGCAAGCGGGCAGCACAGGCACAGAAGAAATAAAGGCCCATCAGAGCAAGGCCAGGCTGTCCTGAGCTCTGTGTAGAGGGTGACCAGTTCCTGCCACTGGAGCCAGCGCTGGGATGGCTCCAAGAGCAGTTCTCCCATCTCTTTGTCACACTCCGTTCTCAAACAAAGCTTCCATGGCAGACTCCTTGGCTGTGGAGCAGAGCAGCCAGCACTTGCCAGGAGCTAAGCTAGACCTGGATGTAAATGCTGAGTTGAAATAAAAGCAAATTTAAAATTTTGTTTTTAAAATGAGCCCCCTTCTCTTTGGTTGAGAGTGGGAGTGGGGGGCATCTGTAAGAGTTAAGGAAATTGAGATTTGTGGAATTGACCAAACATGCTCGCGGAGGATGCCGCGGGCTCAGTGCCCGCTCGCCGGACGCGATCCCTTCCACAGGCAGCGCTCCCGCTGCCGGGGGAAGCTGCTGCTTGAACCAGGGCGGGGATTTCTCTCCCCAAAACGCAAACACCGGCGGAGCTTTTGATCTCTGGGCCGAGCTCGGCGAAGGGCCGGTGAGCCGCGGCCGTGCCGTGCGGGGAGCGGATGGAGCCCGGGGGGTTCCCGGGGCGCCCCGAGCAGGCGGCGCTCCCGCCCCGCGTCCCGCCCGCCCGGGCGGCTCCAGGAACCGGATCCGCGGGCTCGGCAGAGCCGCCGCCGCCGCCGCCAGCCATGGACCTGCGAGCGGAGCTGCTCAAGTCTATCTGGTACGCCTTCACCGCCCTGGACGTGGAGAAGAGCGGCAAGGTCTCCAAATCGCAGCTCAAAGTGAGTCCCCGGGGAGCTCCGGCGCACGGATGGAGGGCGGGCGGCGAGGGGCAGAGCGAGTCCGGGGCTGCTTTGCATTTCCGCGGGTTTCCACGGAGGAATTCTTACATATATGATCAATAAGACTTTGTTTTTGCCCCCACGGCGGTTCTGGTGAAGTTCTCAGGCTCTGCAGCCTCTCCCTTTAAAAAGAAAAAAAAAAAAGGAGGGGAATAGTTTATGCTCAAATGTGTTTTCTTGGTGAAATTCTATTTTTTTGTTGTTCTCAATTTCTTATGTTTTTTATGGCCAACTAAGAGCCCAAAAACTGTTTATATTTTCTTGCTTGCCGGAGCACCTGTATTTCTATTTCTTGCTGAGCCAGTGGGTCGGGAGGTAGGGGCAGGTTGTTTTTAAACTAAAACTCTTCATTGGTGTGGYCAGAAATAACACAGCATTTTAAAAATGTCTCAGCTTTCCTTTCTCCCCACTCTTAACAGCTTCCAGAGGGCTCATGCCCTCAGCCCTTCATCAAACCCATCACAGCCTTTTTGTCTGCCCCTGAGGCCAGGTTTGCTCAAACCCACCAGGGAGCCCATTGGCTCAAAGAATAATTGATTTTTTTAACCTTCTCACATGGTGGGGATCTTTTTTTTTTACCCCTTTTGGCTCTTAGGCTGGGGTTGGAAATGCAGGTTGGTACCAGGGTCTGAGATGAGAGACCAGAGCAGGAACATGCTGAGCACGGCGAGGTGTTGCGTCAGGACTTGGCAGCTGCAGCCAGTCAGTGGGACCAGTGGTGAAAAAACCCGCTTTTCCTCTATTCCCTGTATTTTATAGGATTTTCCCAGGACAGAATGCAGGGAAGGTGCTGGGCTTTGGGATGGGAGYGTGTTTTGCCCCAAAATTAAGAGTTTTGTTTGCAGGGATCTGGAGGAAAAGCAGCGGCAGGCAGACTCTTCCTGCTCAGCCTTTGCGGCTGAGAGCCTTKGGCTGCACCCCGGAGCTCTTGGCGTGTGCCCTGCGAGCCACACTCACCTTCTAAAACTGTACAAATAGCTGAAGGAATTAAGGAAAATCTTAAAGTAGGCCAGAGCTTAATTCGGTTTGCTAATCCCTGAGAGGGGCTGCTGTTCCCTCTTCACAGCATCCCCTGCACCCCTGCTCTGGGTGCAGAGCCTGGCCAGGCATGTGACGGACCCAAAAGCACYGTCGTGAACACGTGCAGTGCTCATCTTGAGAGATCTTTATCACCAGTGACGATGCTGAGGCCACAGAGACTCTGATTTTAGTGACAGTTTCATGGAGAGTTTGTGCAGGGTCTGCAAACCTTGGTGTAGGGGGGCTGTGGGGATGCTGGGGATGGCACCTCCACGGTGGCTTCACCCCAGGTGACATTTCAGAGGGGAAGGGATGTTCTCCCACGCACCTTYAGTGACGGGATGGGTTGGTGGCAGGTCACTGAACAGCAAAGCTCAGCTCTGGATGACTTTCCACCTGCCCCCAGGCCAGGGAGAGCTCGTTTCCATCTCCAAACACGCTCGAGTTTGCCTCAGCCATGGTTCAGCGCAGAAGGAATTCAGGGTCTCTCAGCTCTGAGCAATAAAGTGTTAAARCCACGGTGGCCGAGCCCTCTCCAAACTCCTCCAGGGCTGCTGAGCCCTGAGCCGGGCTATGCTCTGCTCCCTCACCCGGGCGTGTTTCTGCACGAAGGGTCTTGAACAGGGGTGAGAGAGACTCTGCGTTTGCTCCTGCAGAACAGAACCAGCCCCGGAGCAGGGTGGGAGAGACTCTGCGTTTGCTCCTGCAGAACAGAACCAGCCCGGAGCTGGGTGAGAGAGACTCTGTGTTTGCTCGTACAGAACAGAACCAGCCCGGAGCTGGGTGGGAGAGACTCTGTGTTTGCTCGTACAGAACAGAACCAGCCCGGAGCTGGGTGGGAGAGACTCTGCGTTTGCTCCTACAGAATAAAACCAGCCCCGAGCTGGGTGGGAGAGACTGCGTTTGCTCCGACAGAACAGAACCAGCCCGGAGCGGGGTGGGAGCGTTCCGGCACACACTGGGAGCTGGGGGCCGAGCTCCGGCCGCGCTCCGGGCAGTGCCCGTGGATGTATCGAGGTTTCCAGCGTGAAGGCGCAGCTGTGGGAAGCCGTTGGGCTCCCTGCAGGGGCTCCTCAGAGCAGATGCCGCTGCGAGTGTAGGTGTGTGTGTGCACAGGAAGGAAGGACAGCTTGCGGTCGGGTGCTGCGCGCCCAGCGGGGTCGGGTAGTTTTGTAGTTTTGTTCCCAGCGCAGGCACGCACCAGCCCTGCTCTTGGACAAGCGTTTGTCCTCGCAGTGCCACCGCTTGACTTTTTTTCCTTGAGTAGGAGGCAAATGAAATAGAAAATAACCCTGGCCGAGCTGGAGGAGCTGCGGGTGCGGGCTGCGAGGTGGGGTGTGGTCCTTCGGTGTGGCCACGCGTGGCTGGGGCAGGAGAAAGGAAATTCCGAGCACTGCCCTGGTGCTTTCGGGCACCTSTGTTGATGGGCGATGGGTGTGCCAGCGGTGGGACAGGGTGGAGAACAGAAACAAGGYTGGTGCTCGGAGGAATCCAGGGCACCAGGAGGAGTCAGGCAGACCCCTGCCCCAGGCTGTGCCCTGCATGGCTCAGGGGAAAGGTTGCAGCAGCAAAATGCTTTTATAGCACCCCCTTTTCCTGCTTTTATTCTCCTGCTCCTGGCACTGCTTCAGAGCCTGGGAGGTTTTTTCCCACCTCTCCTGTCCCCAGTCACCCCAACATCGACCAGGCCAGGGCTTCCCTTCCCATTTGTCAGTGACAGCYCTGCGAGAGGAGTGGCTGTGTGTCACAGGGTACTGGGATGGATGGAGGGGCTCAGAGTGTCCCCCACCAGCACAGTCACAGCCGAGACCTCCCAGGGTGGGAAATGCTCTTTTTGGGGGATGCTCTGAAAGGAGGGGTGAAGGATGGAGATGAGGGCCCACGTTGGAAWCACAGAACAGGATACAGTTCGCCAGCTTTCAGCTCATCCTGATGGATTTGTTACCACCCTGGAGGATGTCCCTGGTGTTCCCAGGCCTTTCYACTGCTGTGCAGACCCTGGGGCTGCACCGAACCCCAAAAGGCACAGCCCTAGCAGCAGTGCTCAAGGCTACAGCCCAGTTGTGTGAGCACAGGGTGGAGTCCTGCYGATCCCATTGGTCCAAAGGGTGGAAAAGAGAAAGAAAATCTGGTCGAGCAAGAACTGTCTCCAGCTGCWGCAGCCATCGTGGCCTCCAGCGGCTCCTCTCCCACTGGGAGGAAATTCCCAGCCCTGCACAGAGGAGCAGGGATGCTGCACCTCTCCTCCAGCCCTTCTCTTGAACCTTGGGCAAGCTGCATCAGCAGATTCTGGTGCAGTGGGATAGTGACAGTCTGGGACATGTGTTTAACCATCTTCTGCTTCTGGGAGGTAAAKRCAAGCCAGAGATGCTGGTGGTGCTMATGGGCAGCCCTGCTCTGGGCTACMCGGACGGTGGGAAATCYGTGAGCTTCCAAATRYSCTTTGTTTTKGGGGATTTGAACAAAAATCAGCTGTTGGCAAGTCTCACTGACTGTTTCTGGAGAAAGAAATGTCTCCAGATCTCCATTGTCTGCTTTCATTTCAGTCAAAACATTTGCTCAGTTTCTCACCAGTCTTTTCAATTTTCATGTTTCCATCTTTCTGTGCCCTCTGGCAGGCAGTGGCTGCTGCCAGGCTGGGATGTGGCTGTGCCAAATGCACAGCTCAGAGTGGTTTATCAGCTTTTCTAGATCAGASTGAGGCCTGTGTGCTCTGAGAGGTTTGAAACAGAAAAAGAAGTTTTAAAACTTTTWAAAAAGAAGTTCCTCATGTGCTAAGAAAAGAAACCAATGTGGRAAAATCCTCAATTTCTAAATGACTCTCTAAGGTTTACATTTGGAAATTATGCCAAACTCCAACCCCGCCTCACTGCTGTGGCTGCAGGGAGGCGATGCCACACAAGGCACAGTCCCCAGGGTGGGGTGAGTGAGGGGGTGGCACTTTGGGGATGTGCTGGGGCAGGGCTGGAGGTTGTTCACCTTCTCATCACCCCTTGTGCTTGGCCAGGTGCTGTCTCACAACCTGTACACRGTGCTGTGCATCCCCCACGACCCCGTGGCACTGGAAGAGCATTTCCGCGATGACGATGACGGGCCAGTGTCCAGCCAGGGCTACATGCCCTATCTCAACAAGTACATCCTGGATAAGGTGAGTTCCTCGGCCATCCCCAGACCTGCTGTGCCTCAGGTGGGGACATTGAGGTGCCTGGGAGTTCTTGGAAATCACATGCCTTGGTGGGTGGGCGGAAAGAGGGTGCAGAGAGTTGGGGACTGCTCAGATGAATGCCAGAATGAGAAATGTTTAACACTCAGCGTCTCCTTGGCAAGGATGAAGTCATCCCTGTACGTCACAGCTCTGCAAGGAGCAGCATCTCTGCCCACGTTTCCTGAAGGGCTCTGAGAGAGAAATCAGCCCTTTTCCCCTCTCCAGCCATGTTCAGATTTGAGGTGTGACCTCATTTGGCAAAGAGGAGAGGGAGGAGGATGAGGTGGCGGGGTAGGAGCAGGGCAGGGGTTTTCTCCCTTCTTTCCATGGTTCAAAGCCACCTTTGTCTGGCACAGCCAGAGGTTGCTCTGTGGGTGCTGTTTCCTCCAGGCGTGTGGGGAGAGCAAGAATGACTGACAGCTTTCTTCCACTGTGTGCTCACAGAAAGGGGCCTGAGCTGGGTCAAGTAACCCTTCACTCCCCTGGTTTTCCCAGTGTGCCAGTCCCTGTGCCAGTGCCCATGCTGGTCCCTGTACCACTCCATCCCTGTGCCCATCTTTTCTTGCCCAGARCTGGTCAGCAATGATGACCTTGGCTGCAAGGAACTGGCCTGCAGTGACAGAGGGCAAAGCCTTCCCCAGCTCCCTCTGGCCAGAGCAGGAACTGCCCAAGGTCAGCCCAGCCCAATCWCCACATCACAGCATGGCCAAAATCCTTCCAGTTGCCCACACGGTTCTTTGGGAGGTGATCTTTAAACCCCCTTCTTCTGGTTTCACCATGGTTTATAGAATCCCAGAGGCAGCCTGAAAAGGGGGAAGTGGGTTTTCCTAGTAAGAGAAAATTTAACTTTTGCCATCTGAAGGTTTTCCTCCASCTCTGCTGCTCAGTTGGCTCCTGTGCTGGTTCACACAGGTGGGATGGAGCACCCAGGGACAGCCAAGGGTCCTGCAATCCTCATCACAATTCCCCCCTCTGCACCAAACTTGCTGCATGGGGCAGCTCACAGGGCCCGGACACATTTGCAGAACTGTGACAGCAGCAAGGATGAGGCTGGTGGAAGCACCATTCCTGCTGCCTGCCCTCAGGCCAGCACTTCCCTTCACTCCTCAGTTCCTCTTTGTGGCTGAATGGGATAACAGGAAACCCAAAACCACACAGGGAGGTGGGCTTGGAGAGCTCCACATGTCCTGCAGGTCCTGCACCCCGGAGTTCCTGCTGGTGCTCCCAATCACCCTGTGCTTCTCACTGGACAGATTTTAGATACGAGGGTTTCTTCTCTCCAGCAGTTCCTCCCCCAGAACTCCTCTCCATATCCCTKCAGCTCCCTGCTCACCCCCTAACTCCTGCCCACAGGTGGAGGAAGGTGCTTTCATCAAAGAAAACTTCGATGAGCTCTGCTGGACCCTGACAGCAAAGAAGAACTACAAACCCGACCGGAACGGGAACAGCGTCGTGTCCCACCAGGATGCTTTCAAGCTCTGGTGTCTTTTCAACTTTCTGTCTGAAGACAAATACCCTCTGGTGATGGTGCCAGATGAGGTAGGACCTGCCTTTYCCCCCATCCCTGTCCTCCCAGGGCYCCATGTGSTGCCAGAGCCCCGTTTGTGGGTAGCACATCCCGCTATCGCTTCCTGGCATGTCCCCGCTACATCCTGCAAGATGTGGTGCTCCAGAGGGGAGAGAGAGCAGGCCAGGGATGGAACAAGGGGGCTGTCAGCCCTGGGCACCCCTGCTGAGCCCAYATCCACCCTCACTGCCCGGGGAACMGTGGGGTTTTAGAGGGGAGACCCCTCAAAAATGCTGCAGCCTCTCCTGGATAGAGGGCAGTGGCAGAGCAGACCTGGCTGTCCCTYTCCGTGGCCACTGTCACCAGATGCTCAGCCCCTGCCCAGCATGCAGAGTGTTAAGGGTGAGGTGCCAGCCTAAGAAAAGCCTCTGGCAGTAATCTCCAAATCTCCAGATTCCAAAGCATTTAGGGGGGAAGGCTCTCCCTTTCTCTGGGCTCAGATTAAACCCCCACGAGAAGGGGGGCAGGTCTGGGGAGGAGGCACAAGTGCAGAAGCCAAGAGAGGTCTTAGCAGAAGGAACTCTGCTGGGCAAACGGCTGCTGCTGCCTTCCACCCCATCAACCTCCTGAGATCAGCAGCAAAGTCAAAATTTAAAAAAAACAAGATGAGAAAAAAGGCAAGCACTGCCATGCTGCGCAGACGTAGAAGGGCAACCGCACTTCCTGTGCCCTGGGAGAGGTGTTTCCTGTTCCCCAGACCATGAAAAACTGAATCATCCTGAGCAACTGCATTCAATTCTCGTCATTCTCACAATTAAATGACATAAAAAATCCAGCTGGGTGCAGGGACTCTGCTGTGTGTCACCTTCCTGCATGGCTCCCTGCAGTCACCCACCGGTCTCAGTCCCCAGATCATGGGCASAGGAGAGCTGGCAGCAAAACTTGAGCTGGAACAAGCCTTCCCCACATCATGTCAGCCACCTGGGCTCTTTTTAAAAGCATTTTATTCGCAGTTTTAAAATGATGCTCATCTCTAGGAACCTGTCCCCCCTGCTCCTCCCCAGTGATTTTTGGAAAGCAGAGCGGTGTTGGGCTCACTGTGGCTCTGAGAATCAGTCCTGAWTGGGGTTCAGCAGTGCTGGCCTGCACTCCCTCAGGCTTCTTGACTGCTACAGARTTTTCTTACTCTGCAGACAAAACACCCAAAACATCCCAGCCTTGGGGTTAAAAGCAAAAACCTCCCAGCAGTGCTCAAACTCTAACCCAGTTCCAACCTCCTGACCAGCTTGCTGCTTAGAATGCCTCAACCATCACAAGGGGTGAYCCCTCTGAGATCAGGGTCCTGCATCTCCAGGCTGGAGAGAGAAGTGACCTTGGGCTCTCCAAAATGGGTTGATGGGGTGGGGACAGCTCTGGCTGCTTCCTGTGCCTGAGTGTCCCCATCCCCACAGGTGGAGTACCTGCTGAAGAAGATCTGCATGGCCATGAACGTGGAGCTGAACTCCTGTGAGCTGGAGGATTACCTGGCCCAGGAGCCGCAGGGGCAGGGCGGGCTCACGGTCTGGCAGTTCCTGGACATGGTGAACTCGGGGCGGTTCCTGAGAGGCATCGAGCAGGAGGCAGTCAGCATGGCCGTGGAGGAGGTGTACCAGGAGATCATTGAGGATGTGCTCAAACAGGCAAGGAGCTCACATACTCCGGGACACAAGGTCCATCCTGCTGCCACCCCGTTTTGATCTCGGTGTCTCTCGGGCGCAGGGATACCTGTGGAAGAAGGGCCAGCTGAGGAGGAACTGGTCRGAGCGGTGGTTCATGCTGAAGCCCAGTGTCCTGTCCTACTACATGAGCGAGGAACGGAAGGAGAAGAAGGGGAGCATCGCGTTGGACAAGAACTGCTGYGTGGAGGTACAGCCTGGGTCACGCTCAGCTTGGGGACAGCAGGGAGACCCAAGAACACACAATTTCACCTCCATGAGCATGGGAGAGCCAGTCCTGGGGCTGAAGATGGGGGAATAAGGTCGAGTTTGGGGGTTAATGCTGTGCTGTGTYCTCTCCCTGCAGATGTTGCCAGACAGGGATGGCAAGAGGTGCATGTTCTGTGTGAAGACCTCGTCCCGCACCTACGAGATGAGCGCCTCCGACACCCGGCAGCGCCAGGAGTGGACGCTCGGTCCGTGCCCATCCCATGCCCCTTCCCCAGCTTCCCACGCCCCTCTCTGTGTCCCCACTGACTGTGCCCTCCCTCTCCAGCCATCCAGACAGCCATCCGACTACAGGCTGAGGGAAAGAAGTCCCTGCACAAGGACCTGAAGCAGAAGCGACGGGAGCAGCGGGAGCAGCGGGAGCAGCGCAAGGCGGCCAAGGAGGAGGAGACGCAGCGGCTCAAGCAGCTGCAGGAGGAGAAGGAGAGGAAGCTGCAGGAACTGGAGCTGCTCAAGGAGGCCCAGAGGCAGGCAGAGATCCTGCTGCAGGAGGAGGAGCAGCGGCGGAGGCAGCAGCATGAGGAGATGCAGAGGACCCTGGAGATCCAGCTGCAGGAGGCTGAGCAGGTGAGTGCATCCCATGGGCTKTGGTGCTCGTGGGGTGGGGGCTTCCTTCTCCTTCCCTTGCCCGGGTCAGCCAAGGGTTTGGATGTGCAGTGCTGCAGCCACTCATCACCTCTGGGCTCCACCGTGATTAAGATCTCTTTGAGCAGGAGATGAGGACAACCTGTCCCAAGGAGCTGGGGGCCAGTGAGAGGCGAGTCCTGGTGCCAGGTTGGCCTGCGAGCCCATTTCTGACCTCGCAGCCAGGACTGGCTCCAAACGGCACAGCCTGTCTCCTGAGCAGGGAAACAGCTTTGCTTTGGACCTGTCACCATGGGATCTCCTTGTCTAGCCCGTTCCACCAGTGGGGCAAAGTGTGTTCTGGGGACAGCAGTGGTGGCCCGGCCAGCTGACGGCTCCTGTCCCCGCCGCAGGCTCGCGCCTCCATGCAGGCAGAGATGGTCCTGAAAGAGGCAGAGGCAGAGCGGCAGCGCAAGCGCATCGTGGAGCTGGAGGCCATGCAGGAGCGGCTCCAGGAGGCCCTGCAGCAGGAGGTGAAAGCACGGCAGGACGAGGAGGCTGTGAGATATGCACAGGCCAGGTAGGAGCAGGGCATCCCTCCCCTCCTTGAGCAGCCCTGCTTCCAGGGTACCGGGGTGTGCTGGGGATTTCCCAGTGTGCCAGCTGGGATGGAAAGCTGGTGGGAGAAGGGGCAGAGGGACATCCTCAACTCTTGCTCTTCATTGCCAGGCTACTGGCTGAGGAAGAGGAGAAGCTGAAGCAACTGATGAAGCTGAAGGAGGAGCAAGAAGAATATATCATCAAAACTCAGCGGGAGAAGCAAGTCCTCAAGCAGGAGATGGAGAACAAGAACAGGTGCCTGGAAGAGGCGCAGAAGCAGCTGGAAGAAGTGAGAGTGAATAGGCAGCGGGTGGACCAAGATGTCATGGTGAGCATCACGTTGGTGCCACATCTTTTCACACTTTGAACCCAAGGGACTTTCCAGCCCTCCMAAAGTCACCTCCATGCTGGGAAGGACCAAGCTGGAATTGCCATGGGGGTTTCTGAGCTGTGCCATRTGCAGGCACGGGGTGATGCAGTGGCTGAGATGGGACAAGTGTGTCCTGCCCTGGGGACTGGTGGACAAAGTGGCAGTGGGAGTGTGTGAAGGGAGGAGGATTGGAGGAGGAGCAGAAGGTCTAGAGGAGGGTGAGCTGGGTCTCCAACCCAGAGGAAACCTCCAATCCAGGCTTCCTCAGGGAAGGGAAACCCATGCCCTCAGTCCTGGATCAGGGGCAGTGGGGCACCGTCTCACCCCTTTCCTCCATCCCCTCCAGGCGGCTCAGCGGAAGCTGCGACAGGCCAGCACCAAYGTCAAGCACTGGAATGTCCAGATGAACCGACTGATGCACCCCATCGGGCCAGGAGGTAGGAGACCAGCTCACCACCCTTCCCTGCACCTCCTGAGCACAGCTGGGGCAAGAGCCCAGTCCCCCACCCCTCTTCCCTTCTTTGGCGGCATCTGGAGGGCAGAAGGACTCTCAGAGAAGATACCCCAACACCTCTCCAGGGAGACTCCACAAACCTTTTTCTCAGCTGAATGGTCAGCATGGACCCCAGGTAAACAACTCTCTTTTTCTGTCCACCCCCAGACAAGCGAACGAATGTGAGTGGAGGAGTCTTCGCTGGCTACCAGCCCCTTCTGTCCCGGAGAGATTCTTCCCTCAAACTCACRCAGAGGGTGCAGGATAAAGGCAGTGACCCCACGAGTGAAAACAGCAAGGAGAACGTGAGCAATGGTGGGAACAGCAGCGTGCTGCCATCTCCAGATGCGGACACCATGGCCACAGAGCCCACCAAATAGCCCACCAGGATAGCAGAGCCCAGCTGGGAATGGAGGGGCTCAGCTCGTCCCTCCGAGTGGACAATCAGTGTGGCTATCTCTGGATGGAGCCAAAGTGGGGACCAGCACAGAGCCTACAGGGGACTGCGTAAGGCAGAGGTGCTCCCATTTCCATCAGTAAAGGGCTGCAGCCACTATGTGCCAGGAGGCTCAGGCTGCCCAGTGCTGAGGAACTCTGGACTGCTGGACTCAACTCTCTGKGCTCTGGTTTCCACCCAGTACTAAAAAAGAGCTGCTGATGGGTCAGGACCCTGTGGCCCAGGGTTGCAGTTCCCCCTTGGTTTCTACAACAAYCCTTCTGCATCACCCCCTGTGCTCCACGTGTGGGGCCTTGCCACCAGCCAAGGACACCCAGACTGACCAAATGGGGCCTTCTTGTGTCCTTCAGGGTGTCCCTAAGTACAGCTGCCACTGTGCTTCCTGATGGTGGTTAGTAAAGAAGTAAAGAAACCAACGAGCAGTAAAGTTTTTGGAGCCACTGGCCACAGATCTCCTGCCCCACACCCTGGTGGCCCTGCAGGAACCAGCCCTCTCTCCTTRGCAGCGCCAGGTTTGGATTCCCCGTGTGAAAGAGCCCTTTGAAAAGSATCAGCCACAACCTGTGAAAAGTGGCTCCACCAGAAGATTTTTGGTTGGACTGGGGAGGGCTGAGAGGGACACARAACAAAACAAAATAGGCCCGATAAYACATCATCATTTGGGTTAGTTTCTCCTAGCATCTCTGTATAAATACAGTCCCAATCGCCTGTTTATTTGGGGTCTTTATTGTCTGGGGCATAGAGCCAGGGTCCTCTCTGGAACAGGCGCTGGGAGCAAGCTCTGCACCGACCCACTCTCTGCTCAGTTGCTCGGGGACGAGCAGAGTTCGTTAGGGAGATTAAGATCTGTTTCCTCCGGGGCCCCGCACGGCGCTGCCCCCGGTGTCACAGTGTTTCTCTCTCACAGTTTTTTTTTTTTTCCATCGTGACCAAAGACTCCGCGGGCACCGGGACAAAGCGCTCAGTGTGCCCGGGGTGCGGRCTGGCCCCGGCCCGGTCCCACGCGGCCGCGCTGACGCACAGCGGGGGCACGGCCACTGCAGGGGCTGCGGGTCAAATGCATCGCTTCTCCCTCCTTCCCACTGCGCTGGGACGCGGCGGGATGGCCCCGAACCCTGTGCCGTCCCCATGAGGGGTCCCTGCCTGTCCCGCGCCATCCTGGCCGGATCTCTTGGACACAGAATCCCGTCGCTCCACATGGGTTTTCTGAGCAGACTGAGCCCTTCCCAGCTCTGCCCCGAGGCTAGGCTGGGCTATTGTCTTCTATCGAGGCGCGTGTGGGCCGCGGTGCAAATTGCTGGAGCCGAAGGGTCAGCGAGGCCGCTCCGGCCCCTTGGGCGCGGAGCCAACAACGCCTCCACATTAGGCCGCCCTCAGGAGGCTCCGCCCCAACAAACCCCGCCCTCAGGAGGCTCCGCCCCCAGCAAACCCCGCCCGCAGGACGCCCCGCCCCCAGAAAATTCCGCCCTCAGGACGCCACGCCCCCATAGACCACGCCCTTTCGCGCCCCGCCTCCGGCGGGCAGCGCCTACATTTCCCATGAGGCCGTGCGGGGTGCAGCGCGGGCGGCTCCCGGCAGGGGGCGGTGCGGCGCGAGAGGGCGGGGCCGTTGCCGTGGTGACGCGGGCGCGAGGCCCCCGGTGGCGGCGGCGATTGGCCGCGCGCGCGCGCGGGGTGCGGTGGCGTCAGGGCGTGCGCGGTGACGCGCGGGGCCGGGGGTGAGGGGGGGGCCGACGGCGCGAGCGGGGCCGCGCGTGAGGTGAGCGGGACCGGGGGGAGTGCGAGGGACGGGAGGGAGCGGGGCTGTGAGGGAGCGGGGCTGTGAGGAACCGGGGCTGTGAGGGACCGGGGCTGTGAGGGGCACAGGGCGTGAGCGGCAGGCGATGTGAGGGACGGGGAGTACGAGGGAGAGGGGCTGTGAGGGACGAGGAGTGTGAGGGACAGGAGCTGTGAAGGACGTGGGGTGTGAGGGGCTGGGAGTGTGAGGGGCTGGGGATGTGACAGGGTTTGGGGCAGGGGGTGTGAGCAACAGGGGTTGGCGCAGAAGGGACGTGGGTGCGAGGAGTTGGGGTGTGAGTGGCACCAGTGACTTTACGGTTCAGGCTGTATTTCGTGCTTGAGAAATCAGGGGAGACTGAGGACGGGGCATGGCCCACGCGGGAGAAGGCTTGGAGGGACAGTGTGCTCGTCTTCCGTGCCGGGGTGGGGTGGTGGAGGGGGAATTGAGGGTACCAGGTACTGGAGGGGTCTGGGGCTGGAAGGAGGAGAAGCAAGGGGGTCAGGATGGACCTTTAACAGAGCATCCGGTGAGGGGCTACTCCAGGAAGAAGGATATGAGAATCCTTTCTCCTCCCTCCTCTCTCCACATTCCACTCCCTCTTTCCCTGAGATCCCAAATAAAGGACATGYTTGTGGGAAGGAATCGGATGTGCTGTAGGGTCTGGACAATGCCTGTCGTGGCSGTGCAGAGGGGTCTGAGCAGTGGCTGCCCCATGAATCAGTGTCCCAGGGCTGGTTGCAGTGTTGGTCTCTAAACCAGTGATCTGTAGGTTGAGGCAGCCCATGTTTCTTGTTTCTGCTGCACTCTCCTCTCCTCCTGCCCTCTCCCTGCAAATCCCTTCTTGCCTTCAGCAGAGTATTCTCTTCTGTACAGACATGCTCCAGGCTGAGGTGGGATTTTTTCTGATGACTTACCATGTGTCAGTCAGGGACACCAGAGGAAGCATCCAGCTGAGATGTGCTGGGAGGTTCCCTCCATGCCCTGCTGAGCTGGTGCAAGTGTTGCCGTGTGTATGGTGTGATGGGCATGTCCTGACATTTAGCTCTGAGTGGGACAAGGTGAGCCAGTCACTTAGTTTTAATTCTCAGATTTCTGGCAGCAGCAGAGTTCTCTGGTCTGCAATGGGAAAGAGCTCAGGGTGTGATTTGTGCACTCCCTGCATGTGATTCAGCCCTCGTTGACAGTGTCAAGGCTAATGCTGTGTTGCTGAATTGGAATGAGCTTTATTGCTTTTGGAGGTGGAGAAAGCCAACCCCTGATGTGCCAGTGGCGCTGGAATGACTTTAGTATTGTTCTTTGTCAGGGARATTAAAGAGAAACGTTGTCAGGATTGTTTAGAAAAACTATCCCGTGTTGGGAGAGAAGGGATGAAGAACCTGCTCTGCTGTGAAAGTAAAGCTCCCAAGGGCAGTTTTGTGGCCCCATTGAGGCAGAGGCTCGTGCTGGATCYACACTTGGCAGAACTCCAGGCTGTCCTCAGCCCCTGCCTTTAAAAAAGGGCAATCACTGCCTTCAAGGAGTTATGACTTTGACATCACTGATCGGGTGATCCTGATGTGATTGATGCTCCAGTGCAAAGGACTCAGGTCATATTTTTGGATCTCACACTTGTGCCCTCCTCTGGATGTACCTTGATCCTGTAGGGAACATCATCCACACTCAGGCCAGTGTGTTGGAATCCTCAGCTTCTGAGGGAGGGGATTCATGTTCTTTTTCCATCCTGTCCTGAGCAGCTGCAGCTGCCACTGCCATGTCAGACCTGGAAGGATGTGAGTGAGGCACCAGGGGTTCACTCTCAGCTCAGCACTCACAGGTTGCTGCTGAGCTGCCTGTCCTGGTAGGATGGTGGTTTGTTGCTGGTTTGTTGCTGGTACTCAGTTGCCTCACAAGCTGTCCCATGTCAAGGGCAGGAATACGAAACGGGGCTTTTCTATCGGAGTGGGAGGAGCAGCTAAGCCTGGGTAATGTCAGGGAGGGTATGTGGGTGCAAATAGCATCATGTTCACAGCATCTTTGTTTAATGTTGTAGTCCAGTTAGTCTGCATAACTGTCTAAAAATAGGACATATTTTCTCTAAGTCCTCTAGTTCATAGCCTCATAAGCAATTTTTTTCCGGCATTGGTCTGTTCCTTCTCTTTTGAGCCTGAAATTCATACGAGACAAAGTTATCAGGAAAACCAAGAAGAGTGAATGAACTCTGTTGAATCCTTAAGTTTCAGCCACCCAAGAGGAAGTTCATTAAAGTTGCAGGAACTTTCTGGCAGCCTCCTGAAGGTGGATTAAACAAGCTGAGTAAACAAGCAGCCTTATGGCCACCACAGACCTTTCTCTAGCATCAACTTTGTGCATTGTCATAAGAGGTCAGGATCATCAGCCTCTGGCTGCAGGTGACTTAAGGTGACATCCATGGTGAGGGGATGGGGCTGTGTCTGCTGGGACACCCTAGGGTTTGCTTTACCTCCTGGTCTTGGGGCAGACACTGTGACACTTGCAGCAGCCCCTTGGAGTCACCRTGGCCCAGGGTTTCAGCGTGCAAAAGAGGGAGTGTGTGTTTAAATTTCAGAGCTGCTGCTGGACCCAGCCCAGTGCTCCCAGCAGCATAAATATCTGGCCTTCAGCACAGCCGTGGAAACTTGCTCTCTGTCCTCCTGCAGATTGCTCCAGGTTTCGGCTGTCCATGCTGACATGGTGACCGAGCGGTGGCTTTTGGCGACAAGCAGACGGGGACAGCTGCTCCGCAGAGGTAACCCTTCCCCTTCGCATGCAGGCACTGACCACTATGTTTCTAAAAACTTGGGATAGAAAGAGCCTGAGAAGAGTTTCACTTTGTCTGTGAGCTTTTTTAAATTCATTTCAAATTTAAACTCTATACCTTATTTTTGTTCCATTTCTGAATATGATCTTTATGGATTACTTTAGGAATACATTGTGARGAYCATGGTYTAATCCTGTTCKCAGCTGGCTCTTGCTGTCARAGCATAGTGACATAACATTTCATTATTTCACTGATGTTTGTGGCTGAAATTGGCTGTTGTAGGTGGGRGAGGGCACATGAGATCCAGGGCTGCACGTGAGTAACCAATCACCCAACGATCCCACACAGGACCTGGCAGTGTCCTACTCGTGACCCACCTGCTCAGCTTTGTCTGTTGGTGTCATACAAAGCCGAGCAGGTCATAGCAGAGGCAGGATAGGGGTTTGGAGGAGGTGGGCAGCAGGGACATGGGCAGGCACTGTCCTGCCCACAGACCTCTGAAGTGATTCCAGAAATCAGCAGTGCTGAGACTGTCTGCACGTGGCTGTGGGTGTTTGCCACTACACAGGTCTGAGGTGTTGAGCTGTTGTGGGTTTCTGTGTCAAGTTGGTGCAACTGTTACGCTGTCTCTTTTCTGGTATTCAAGACAGACTTCCAAGGATCTTAGCAGTGTGTAGAGAGGATTTTATAATGAGCCCCATGAGACTTTGCTGATCAGAAGAGCATTGTTGTCTGGAATTGCTTCCTGGTGTTGATGGGCTCTGTCTTTCTTGTGTGATGCCTTTTGTCAAATAGATATTTTTGTGCAGTACATCTTGTTGCCCTTTGGGGAATATTTCGTCTGTGGCTATTGAATTATGGACTGGAAATCTGCAAATGTTCTTGGAGACTGAGGAACTGGCACAACAAGAGACTCTTGGGCTCCTCTGAATAACAGAACCTGACATACAAATGATGTTTTAATTGGCTGAGATGATGTTACAGTGCTTCTGCCTGAGAGGTTATTTGCTGTCAGAGCCCAGTCTGGCTTGCCTTGATCATGGCATTTTAGAGATGTCAGGGGTTTTGTRGTACTGACTCTTGCTTAGAGCAGGAACAAACTGATACCCATAGATATGTTGTGCTGTTTCTGCTTCTCATCAGGTGCTGCAGAGTAATCTCTGCTTTTTCTAGAAGTGTCTCTGTTCAGAGATGTACTGCTGCAGTAATTTTGGAGACTCTGGGAAAGTCTGGACAAGCAGAAATGATTTCCGTAGTGAGGACAAATAAGATTTTTCTGTAGAACTAGTTTTCTTTTTTTGTTAATACTCTGAAATGTGCTTGCCTTGGCAGAATGCCTGGGAAATTACTTTCCCAAAGCAGGGTTTAGAGTGGAACGATTGATGCCAATGTGAATCCTTTTGGTCAAGGAGATTGTGAAATGCATCTTCCCCGAAGAATGTTTTGTGATGATGTTCACTGGAGCCCTGCTTGATTGCAGGAATGGTTCAGAGCAGAACTGACGTGAGATGTATCTTAGTTTCAGAATGACTTCTTGAAATGCTTTAATATTCACTGTTTCAGTCACAGTGTCTGGAAAATGTCTGGGTTCTTCAAGACTTAGCTAAGAGCTTGTGAACATCTGGGATCACTTTGGCCAGGTCTTTCCATTTGCAAAGGGTTCTGAAATGCATGTGTGTGTTGGGGCTTTCCTGGGGACCTCATGGACAGGTTCTGCTCCAAGTTTTGGGGAATCTGGTTTGCAGGGGACTCCTGACTTTGGAGGAGGAAGTGGCAGGATCAAAGCACAAGCCAGAAATATGAGCATTTGTTGTGATGCTGGATCAAGCCAGAACCCATCTCTGGGGCTGGGGGATAGCCACAGCCCTGTAACCTACATGCTAGCTAAAGTTGTTGCCATCATACTGCATTTCCTGGTTTCCCCGATATGGGAACTGCAATTTGGAGTAGCAAAAACCAGAACATGCATGTTCAACCCTTTCACARAGATGTGGGATGGAGACAGGGAATGGTTCTGGTGATTTGAAAGGGCAGATGAGCTGATAGGGAAGTGTTTCTTTGATGGGCTGTTAAGACAGACTTWACTGTGAAACACATGCCTATCTCATTAGGACAGGCTTTGTCAGGCCTTTCCTGGCAGGGGTTGTGTGAGATGGCTTCAAAATAAGCAATGCTTTGTGCAGTCATCTTGCTGCTGATGGGAACCCAAGCTCAAATCTGTATCCTGTCTGACTTGTTACAAAACTTTTTTAATGCAACTCTTGATTTCACTGTAATACAATCTGGGATATTTCTGAAAATCAGCTTTTCATCTTTAAGTTATTTATATGGATTCTGCTAGAGAAYGTTGGCCCTTGAAAGCTGTTAACTCTAMGAAGGCTGATGGTCAGAGACCCACATCTCTGAAAATATCCCTGGATTCTCATGCTGGTGGGGTAGTCCTGGTATTGTGGAACTTAGAGACATGGGGATCTCTGGAAAAGGGTTGGTGGTGAGCATGAAGTTGAGGAGCCTGCTGAGCTCCCAGCAGCTGACTCTGCCAGGAAGCAGTAGCTGTGAATTCTGTGGCTCACCCTGTACCCCCAAGACGGTGCCAAAGGCATGAGGATGTTATGAAAGGTGCTAATGCTTTGCTCCAGCGTTTTGTTTTCTGGGGGCTGGGGCAGAAATCCAAATGGTCAGAACACACTGTGAGTCTTGGCAGGATCACTCTGACACGGTCACTGCTCGTTTTCCTGCTGAAAAGGCAGGGGAATCTCTGTTCTCCRGGCAGCTATTGCTTTGTGAATGTGGCCAAAAATAGTAAGGAAACAGCATTCCCATCTACTTCCCTTGAGAGGGTGTTGTACTAGTTTGTGTGGAAAAGTGATTCTGGTGTTCTCTAGAGGTTTTCTTATGGAGATGTCTGCAGTCAGGCTGGGACCCCTCTGTTTTCCTGCTCTGTGGCTGAAGGGGAGCTGCAGCAGACACAGCAATGTGCTCAATCCATCTCGCTGCGCATGTTCCTGGTCCTGCTGAATCATCGGAACTTGTGCCTGGGCACAATTCCTYTCTGTCAGCTGCATCCCGGGATCACAGCAGCATGGCTGGTGCCAAGGATATTTTGCTAAAGTCTACAAAACCAAGTAGCACTTTTCTGGAGTCCAAGTGTAAACATAACAAAACTTATGGGCTGATGGATTAATCTTTTTCGTGGTTAGTTCGTGAGATCTAAAATTTGCTGCTGCAAAGAGGAGGAGGCTTGCTACTTGTTTTTGGGGCATTTTCCTGGATCTGGGAGCACTGGCAATGCAGCAATGAAAGCTAGGGCCCTGCTGGATGTTTGGCTCAGGACAGCAGGCTGCATTCGTGCGTGTGATCCTGAGTGACTCATTGGCCCACTGCTGTTTCTGCCCCATTGCCTTTCTGGGGAGCTGATTGCCCCATCCAAAGTAGGAGTGCCACTTGCTGGTGTCCCAGTGACCCTGGGACTTTGGGGAAATCTAAGCTGGGTCCTRGTCTGCAAAGCACTGCCTCACTGACCGCAAGCAGCGCTCCCATTCGCAGCCACAGCTTGTTCCACTCACCACTTTCCTGGAGTTCCATTTCAATGCTGCTCTGAGTCTGTAATACCCTGTGCCCACTGTTTGCCTTGGGAAGTGGTGTTACTGTTTGTGTGAGTTCCTCCTTCACCAGCCCTGTTCTATAATTACTGATGTTCCTGAAACCAGATCCTTCCATGTGTCCTGCTCAGGTTCAGGAGGACAAGGGGTCCCTAAGCAAACTGACTGCCCTGGAGTACAGCCARGATGACATCAGCAGTTTGGGAAAGCGTCACCTTACGGTGGTTCAGTGAGTTCTGAGCCTCCACCTCCTCACCTTTGGGATGGTAAAGGAAAAGGGAATATATCCCAGACAGCTTCTTTGGCATGCAAGCGACAGGCTTGCAGCRTGATCCCAAAGCATAGCCACAGTTTCACAGACACGTCTGCTGTGCCCTGGGCTGATCCTCCCTCCTTGTCAGACTTAATGGTCTTCTCAAATAGCAGCACTTCTGTGCCGTTTCCAGCACTGAGAAGTCCCTGTGGTGTCACCTTTCCAGTACCTGCTTGTTTCCTGGCTGCTGTCCTTATTCCAATGGGTCAGACCCACGTGCCCCTCCTGGCCAKGGGTGGTCTGGGTTGTCCTGAGTTGACACSAAAACAGAAATACTAGTCAGCAGTTGGCAGAATGAGATACACCAGTTCATTTGCTGAAAGTCATCCTGGAAATGCCTTGTACAGGAATGTACAACAGGAGAAGATGGTCACGAGCAGTGCAGGGAGCTGATCTGGGGCCAGGCAGACCAGACCTGCAAGTATGACTGCGAACAGGTGTCAAAATCTGTAATACAGGAATAAACAATGACATTTGGCACTGATCTATTGCTCTGCACTTCCAAAACACGCTGTCTCCATGAGCTGACGCAGCCAGGGAAGGATCAGGAAGGAAGCACTGTAAGAGTCCTGRGTTTGTTTCTTTGTGGTGGGTTTTGGTTTTGGTTGGGGTTTTTTTGATGATGAAGGAAATGGGGGTGTGGGACTTGGCCAGATTTGCTGAAGGTCATGGAGCAGTACTTCAAGTAAGAGCTAACAACTGCACAGCTCTTCCCTGCCTGCCCTGCTGCTGCCCTTCCGCCAGTGTCAGCCACGGAGCCTGATGAGAGCAGGGAGTCCCTCTGCTAGGAAGCTGTGGAGGGATGATGATTATCCCTCTGTCTTCCATTATCTGCCATCTAAAGATTTTGGAACACATCTCATGTGTGCTTGGAGCTGATGGAGCCAAGGACTGCTGCAATTCCTGGAGAACGAACAGCCTGGCAGACCCAGCTTTGCACACAGCTGAGAGTTTACTGCCCAAAGTCTGCTTTTTTTCTGTGTCTGCAATACTTCTAGCACTATGAACAAACCCAGCAGCAAGTTCCTTTTSGAGCAAAATGCCATGACCTGGTTTTGGGGACAGCATCAATCATGGTACAAAAAGAGAAGAATCCAGCAAGTTTCGTAACCCTTTTAATGAGTTGCGGTTTCTTCCTTGCTCAGTGCCCAGGAAGTGAGTGAGTTAAAACATGCCATAGATGTGTGATTCATTTTAGCAAGCCCTGCTGCTCAAGGCAGCTGAGGGAATCTCCTGCACCCTGTGTCACATGTCCCTGAGTAATTAGCAGCAGCTAATGGTAACGGCAGGTCTGGCAGCACCCTGCTGCWTAGAGAGCCCAGCTCAAACTTGGGSAAGCACAGGTGGTCCTCACTGAGCAGCCTAGGAGAGAGAATCACAGGACTGGACTGTGAGGCATGGTACAACATCTGAGCAGATGCTTCAAGGGGAAGAATCTGTCCAGGAATGTCTGTCCTGGTCAGTGCTGTGTGGGAGGGCTCTTCCTTGCTAGCTCTAGTAGTTTATTTTTGTGTGTAGCTTGCCTTGCGGCCAAGACTTTGAGTAAGGGAGGAAGCACTCAGCTAGTAAGTGCTGCTGAGATCTTATTGGCTAATATGGGGGTATGCTGATCTTCCAGGAGCAAACACAAACATGTTTTCAGTGTTTGTCTCTTGTGTTTTGTACACTTAGTTACCTTTCCTGTACTGCAGCATCTACTTAGCTCTTATTTGGCTTTCRTTAGTAGTAGCTGACGTGTAGGAGGAGGAACAGAAACTGGTACTTGGTCAGCAGATCTTGGAAGCAGTGACACAACGTGAGGGAAGTCTGCAAAAGGTGGTCAACCAGCAGCAATCACATCTCCTTTATGGATTCAGGTCAGTTTTTGATTGTGGATTCARAATGTGCTGCACATCGCAGTGCTGCCCTATGGAGAAGGCTGAGTTCTCATCTCACCCCTTCTGTTTCTTTTGGCTGTGAATTTGGCGAACATTCTTGTCCAGAGGGATAATAACACAAGCCAGAAGTGCTCCCATGGTATATTGGTTTCCTTTTGCAGTTCCTGRTGACCTCTTTTACAGTAACTTGAACAACTACTTTGATCAGATCAACTCTGCGACTTGACTCTTGGGAGGTTTGGATCTTTCTTTGGTGCTTTGCTTTGCCTGGAAACTCAGAGCTTGGCTGCAGGGTCTGCACACTAATCAGCAGTGGGGAGCTGCCAAGCCACAAGGGCACAAGCTGTTGGTTGATGAACGGGGAGCTTGGATCTTGTTCAGCTCAGGAGAAGTACTRCCTTCTTGCAGGGAATCCACACTGAAGATTTATCTCCTTTTAACTTTTATTCCTGTTTTTTTCCTTTTCTGGTTGTGCCACGTCTCTCTCCSTGCTCCTACTGATGGTTTAGCTTGGCGTAGATGCCAGCTTCTAGGAAAGACAAACCTGTTGCCYGGGCTGTTTGCAGCCAGCAGGCATCAGCCCAAGCCCAGAGCCAGCAAACAAACCCTCCCTGCGCCGGCTGCAGAGGAAGCTGCTGGCTCAGCCAGGGTTACCMAAGCTCCTTGGAACAGGGATTGAGGCAAAGGCAGAGCAAGTCATGAGATGCTTGCCCTCTTGCTTATTCCCATCCTGTGGAAAGACAAAGGGAAACAGCTTTGCTAGATTCTCTGGATACGCTTAGGAAGAAATTCACAGTCTCCATCCTTGTTTCCATCAGTGTCCTGTGACAGCTGCTGAATGGAAAAAAAGGGTGGGTGTCTATCCTGGGCACAAATCTCTGCCCTTCTTCCTGCAGCTTGAAGCTTGTRTGTTGTGCTCTGGTAGGAGTTACCTCTGCTCCTGTTCTGGCAACTTGGCCACTGGATGAGGAGGCACCAAATGGTTGGAGAGGTCCTGGGGTGGAGATGGGCCCTTTGGCTGTCCTTTGTCATTCCCAGTGCTGTCCACAAAGATTCTCAGCTYTGGTGCTGGCAGGGCAAATCCCTTCTTGCACTCAGACAAACTTTGGACAAACCTCTGGAGAGCTCCAGCTTCCCAGGACCCCCATTCTGATCACTTGGGCTTGCAGAGGAACAGAGGGGAGCATGTGAATCCTTGGTGAATCTCTGCAATCTCTGCCTGCTGCCACCCTGCTGTAYTGGTATAGGGGGAAGGGTGGGTTCCCTGCCCTGCTGGGGGCTCTGCCCAGCTGGCTGGCTGTTCAAAGGGGTGCACAGGCACAGTCCATSCCTGGCCCTTCATCTTTCCAGCAGCTGCCTTGGCCCTTCATCTGCCAAAGGCAGTGGCTGCAGCCTCCTGTGTGAGATCAATGCTCTTTTCCAGTCCTCTCTCTATCCCAGTTCTTTAGAAAATGGGAAGGGCTAAGGGAGAGGCAGGTGTGCAAAGAGCTCCTGCAGCTCCCCTCTGCCCAGGCCCCTGAACTCTTGGCCTGCAAGGAGATATTCAAACAATACATTCAGAACCTTCTGGTRAAAGCTTTTCTCTCTGGCTCTCCAATCACTCTCAAAGGGTGGGATTCACATCCATATCCTTTCTGTAATACCTGTGTGCAAATGAGCAGCCTTAGCTGGAGCCCTGTGGTGCTTTCTGTGCAMCACATCTGTCTCATCCTCTGCTTTCTTCCTCCTCACACCCATCCAAGACTGACTCCAAGCACAGCTTTGGAGTTACTTTTTTGGATTTTGGGGAGCAAACTGCATGCCAAAAACTCGCTGCTGCCCTGGGAGCACATGGCCCTGAGTAGACCTGGCGAGTAGAGGACAGCATGCCATGGATGTGCCCATGAGACRTCTGGGGCAAAGCAGAGAGGTCTGTCTGTAGTGGGTATTAAGCAAGGGGCTTGTGCTGGATGCCAGGGACAGAGGCAATCTAATGAGCTGCTCATTAAGCTGCTGCAGAATGGATTTTCCACTGTAGACGAGCTTCTCCTGCCACAAGCTTCCCCCACTAACTGCTCTTCCAGGCAAAAGTGTTTCCCTGATGTTTGTGTGATCATTTATATATAACCTTGAAAACGATGGAGTTCATTTCCCTYCATCTCCAATGAATGGTTTTCCTGCCTGTCTGCCATGTCCTACTGCATGGGATTTGTGAGTGGAGGCCAAGGATAACACAGCCCTTCAATGGTCCCTCAGTGCTCACGTGGAGGTATGGGAAGGGAGCACCCACCCCTCTGCCTGCCCCTGCTGCCAAGGAACACAGGGCAGTGTGCTTGCTGCTGCTACTAATATGCCTCTCCTGAAAACAAAGCCACCTGTCTTGCACTCTGAATTCCCAGTGTGAAGGGAAAAAACAAAGCCCCCTCAGCCAMAGGAGACCCAGGCTGTGGTGCAGGAGTGACTTGTGTCCTTGCTTTGTGACATGTTTGTGTTCAGCCTCCCACCTGCAGATTTTATTCTGTCCCTGAGCTGCTTCCTTCATCTTGCAGGGAGCTCTGACCTTGATGGCTTTCCAGCAATTTGAGGAGCTGGCTGCAGCTCAAGTTCAAGGTGCCAGGTGTGGAGGTCTGCTGCGGGACAGCAAAAAAAATCCAGGGAGTCTAATCCAGAAACATCCATCAGGAAAGGCACTGCTGCCCTCCCCCAACAAGCCTTGGACTATGCTGTGGGCTTGGGCATGGGGCACAGACCATTTCAGAGCTTGGGGTTGCCCTTATAGGAGGCCCCTGCAARATCCTGCATTAGTTTAATTTGGGTGTGCAAATTGAGGCCTTTGTGGTTGAACCTGGATTTCAGTGGTTTTCCTGATGGGTATTTCTCCACTTAAAAATAGCTCCTTTAAGGAAGTGGATGGAACTTTACATAAGCTGGGATTGAGATGTTAATTATTCCAGCAAGAATCAGTTTAGGAATCAGGATCTGGAGGTAAATGAACACCAGGATGTTGCAGCACAAGCTGGACACTCAGGCAAGATCTGGCATGGTTGGGAGGGAGGTGGGAACGGCTCTGCCATGGCCACAGTACCAGTGCTGCATCGTTTGGATGGCTGGAGCTTTTTGTGGGCTCTTTGGGRTGGAGTAAGGCAAACAAGGAGCGGAAGCGCATGGGGGAGGATGGGGCCGTCTCTCCCACAGGAAATGCAGGATTAAGACACTGGGTGGATTGTGCGGCCGTTGGGATCGCACTGCTGGACCCCGTGGCTGAGCACGGCCCGGCAGCTGCGCAGAGCAGCAGCAGCACGTTCAACCCTGCTCTTGGCAGAGGAGCTGAGTGAAAACAAACACAGAGGCTGTAACTGGCAGCGCTCTGACGGGAAGGAGCACGAGTGCGGGGCTGACAGGAAGCCATCAGTCTTGCAGATGGCTTGCACAGGCCAGGGCCCTTTAGCCACCACCTGCTGCTCCCAGTCCAAGCTCTGCCATGGCTGGGCAGGGACAGAGGGTGAAGCCAGCCTTACTTTGATCCTTCTGGTGGTGCTGGCTCTGTCAGACCCTGGCCCTGGCTGTCACCATCACATCCCAGGTCACGGGTGGCTCTGRGGGACATTGTCTGGGGCGGCGTTTCTGCTGTGGGACTTGCAGGCTGGGGACCCCAGGTCCCTGGTTGGCATCTGAGCTGGTTTGTGGAGCGCTGGGCTTTAAAAACAATTCTGTAAGCTTTTGTTTTCTTGAGTCCTACAGAATGTTTATTCCAAAGTAGGAAGGGATCTTAAAATGGCCCTGGCTCTGCATGTCTCACTGGCTGAGGAGCAAGCACAGAGCAGGACTGGCGTGGTTGGTGACACTGGTCACTGCCCTGCTGCTGAACTGCTCYGTGCAGGCACTCAGTGGCCTCTCTCCCATGTCCCACAGGCTAGCAGGAACAGCCTGGTGGGGTCCATCTCGGATAGACGCGGATGATGCCAGAGCTATGACAGGGATTGCAGTCTTGGCACTGAGGGGTGATCAATTATGGAACAACTACAGGAGGAAGTACCTGAGGTCAAGGAAGAGGAAGAGGAAGAGGCAGTGATGGTGGCAAGTGGAGCCTCAGACCCAACTGGAGGACCAGACAGCTCACTGCCTTCGAGCAGCTACACAGGTGAGTGGAGCCACATGAGCTCATCCTGTGAAGCATCCTGGCATCCACAATCTCCAGGCAGCATGTTCAGCTGCAAAGGCAGAGGATYTGTCACTGAATGGAGTTTGGCTGGTTTTAATCTCTTTCCTTTGTGAAATAGTGCTCCAGGTTATGGAGAGGTTTGTTTCTTCCTCCGAGGTCACTGCACAGCCATTGGCAATGGGTTGTGGAGTGGAAATCAAAAGGACAGCAGGTGACATTGTGCTTCAGAGCAAGGGGCCTCCCAGGGTGCTTGGGAATACTTCCTTGAACACTTCTTGAAGTCCTCAGTGTAAAGTGATTRTAGGAGGTGGGAGAGAAGGTTTGTGGATGCAGAAGAGGCTTCTCCAGAGCCCTTGATGTTCCAGCTGGGCAGTCCTGTGCCAGCAGTCAGCCAACCAGGGATTATAAATCTGCTGSTTAGGGTTTCATTGTCAGGACATGAATGCCAGAGGGAAGAAAGGAGCATTGATGTGGACTCTGAGCTGCTGGGGCACTCTTGGCTCTGTGCATGGCATTTGCCTGCAGCCAGCACCAGACTCCAGATGTGATACCGGGGCAGGCAGGACAGGGCTGAAAATCCCTCCTCAGCCCCATGGCTGGAGGAGCTGACCATGCCAGGAGCTGGGCCTGTGGCTGTGACACAGAAGGACGTGTCCCTGTGTGTGTTTGCAGATCTGTCACAGAGCTCCTCTCCCTCGCTGTCGGACCAGCTGCAGATGGGCTGCGAGGAGGCGGCGCTGGGAGCGCTGAACGTGGAGTGCAGGGTCTGCGGAGACAAAGCCTCGGGCTTCCACTACGGCGTGCACGCCTGCGAGGGCTGCAAGGTGAGTGCCAGGGAGGGCTGGCATCAGCAGCACCAAGCAGGGGTTAGACCCCAGGAACTGGACTGCCTCCTCACACAAGCAGATTTGTGAGGCAGCAAATCAGAGATATGGGACTGTTTGTAAAAAACTCAATTGAAGCTGTCTAGAGAGTGTGGTGAGTACAGACAGGCTGCCCTGGGAACGTGGCTGAGACCTGTATGGCCCAAACCTTGCCCTGTCATGCTTTGCTGTGTAAAACAAATCCATTTGTCCCTGCAGGGACCCTCAGTTTTCTTTAAAAGATGGTTTYTGTGCAGCAGATCAGCAGTGAGCTGTGTGTTTATCTCCCTGAGAGCACCAGCTGCAGCTTGGATGTTCCATGTCCCCTGCTCCCTGCTTGCAGGGTTTCTTCCGTCGGACGATCCGCATGAAGCTGGAGTACGAGAAGTGTGAGAGGAGCTGCAAGATTCAGAAGAAGAACAGAAACAAGTGCCAGTACTGCCGCTTCCAGAAATGCCTCTCACTGGGCATGTCACACAATGGTAAGTGTCACTGCTGCCCACAGGCCTGGCCAGCTGGGGACACTGGGCCAGCTGCCCTCCTGTAAAGGGTGCCCATGGCCTGCTGTGCTTTAGCTTATGGTTCTTCTTGCTAGGGGATCATTCAAACCCAATGCTTCAAGCATTTGACTCTTCATCCCCTTTTTYTGTATGAGAAGGGGTTGTTCTTTCCCACCGTGCAGCACAGCTGCTGGCACATGGCTGCCCCTTAYGGACTGGCCCAGAGGGACCTGGACTCGCAGATTGTTCTTCTGTGCTAGGATTTTTAGACTTCAGGTGTAAGACTCTCAGACCCAAACAAGCAAAGCTGTTTATGTGGGACCTGGGGTTTGTTCAAGAGTCCAGAGGAGTGGGATGGGAGTCTGATGTGAGGGAAGCAGCAGTGGCTGGTTCATGAAGGTGTTGATACTGGAGGAGCTGCAGCCTGGAGAAGCATTGTGTTGTGTAGCTGCAGGTGTTCTCCAGCAGACCTGTCCCTCTGCAGTAGCAGAACAAACTGCTGCCTCTCCAGCTGCATCTCCTGGGGTCCCCCCACTGTCCTGACCCCCAGTTTTGCCCCCCAGCAATCCGCTTCGGGCGCATGCCAGAGGCAGAGAAGAGGAAGCTGGTGGCAGGGCTGACAGCGAGCGAGATYGGCTGCCAGAACCCGCAGGTGGCTGACCTGAAAGCTTTCTCCAAGCACATCTACAACGCCTACCTGAAGAATTTCAACATGACCAAAAAGAAGGCAAGAGGTATCCTGACCGGGAAGGCCAGCAGCACCCCAGTAAGTTCCCTCCCAGGGCAGGTGGGGTTGGCCATGGCCAGCACAGGGGACTGTTCTCTGGGAGATGCTGCACATCTCCCTGCTACCATATCTTTTCCACGTGCACCAGTTCCTACCTGCAGCCAGGTGGGCTCTGCATGTCCTGCCCCTTGCTGGGAAAAGTCCCATTGCTCTGCAGACTTGTGCTGTGGTGGGTGGGTGCAGATTGCCTGGGCACTGTCAGCCCCAGAGGCAGGGCACAGCACAAAGACAGGTAGACAAACACAACTGTCCTGGGCAGAGCTGGCACCTCGAGTCCCCGCAGCAGACTCCTAACTTACTTCTTGTTCAAGCAGCCTTTTGTGATCCATGACATGGACACCTTGTGGCAGGCAGAGAAGGGGCTGGTGTGGAAGCAGCTGGTGAACGGAATCCCCCCCTACAAGGAGATCGGGGTGCACGTCTTCTACCGCTGCCAGTGCACCACGGTGGAGACTGTGCGGGAGCTCACCGAGTTCGCCAAGAGCATCCCCAGCTTCGTAGGCCTCTACTTGAACGACCAAGTGACTCTGCTCAAGTACGGGGTGCACGAGGCCATCTTTGCCATGCTGGCCTCCATCATGAACAAGGACGGGCTGCTGGTGGCCAACGGGAACGGCTTCGTGACCCGCGAGTTCCTGCGCAGCCTGCGCAAGCCCTTCAATGAGATCATGGAGCCCAAATTTGAGTTTGCTGTGAAGTTCAACGCGCTGGAGCTGGATGACAGTGACCTGTCCCTGTTTGTGGCTGCCATCATCCTGTGCGGAGGTGAGCGGGCGCCCTTGGCCATGCCTGGGTCAGCAAGAGTCCTCCCTACTTGGAGGTCATTCAGAGGGGGCTAGGGGAGCTGAGCTGCAGCTGGCCCTGAGGTCAGCCAGGGCTGTCTCAGGGGCATGAGAGAAGAACTGAACACATCCAGAACCAAAGCTTCTATGTGTCCATGATGCCTGGCAAGCTTGGACCAACAGCAAAGAATGTAGAAGTGGCATCTCCTTCTCATGTGCTGCTGTAGGACACATTGTCCAAGGGTGCTTCTCCCCTTTCTAGCTGATGAGGTTGGAGTCAYGGTGGGTGGGTTACAGTCCCCAGCTCCCTTTCCCCAGGAGGAGCGTGTACTTTGGAACGCTGCATCATGACMCTGCAGCTACCGTGCTTCCTCTCCACAGACCGCCCTGGCCTGATGAACGTGAAGCAGGTGGAGGAGATCCAGGACAACATCCTGCGAGCGCTGGAGTTCCACCTGCAGTCCAACCATCCGGATGCCCAGTACCTTTTCCCCAAGCTGCTGCAGAAGATGGCTGACCTGCGGCAGCTGGTGACAGAGCACGCCCAGCTGGTGCAGAAAATCAAGAAGACAGAGACAGAGACATCTCTGCACCCGCTTCTGCAGGAGATCTACAAGGACATGTACTAAGGACCTGTTATTTATGAGAATGAAGCCATGGATTCCCATCAAAGATTCTTTGTACAGAAACAAAGAAAACCTTTCCCAGTCTTCCACTTCTCCTACTGGAAACTCTTTTCTACACGACCCTGACATACGGTACATAGGGCAAGATGCCGTCAGGATTTGCAGCCACCTCCTGCTCSGCCAGGGCTTCCATTAACACACACTAACAAATCTGCAAAGCTGCTGTTTCTGTTCCTATGGTCCAGCTCTACTGCTCCTGAGTGGCTGCCCAGTTTACACGGCTCAGGCAGCGAGGTTCCTATGACACCCGGGTCCCCAGGGTAGGGGAGCTCTGGTCCTTAGTGAGGCCAAAGGGGTGCAGAGGCCAGGGGGACCGGCAGCAGCGCTTACAGTGTGTCTGTATTGTTCATTTGCACTCTGAAGATGGTCCTGAGCCGTGGAGTCTGGGACAGTGTGTTGAAAGAATGTTTCTCTCTTTCCCAAAGAAAAGCTGGAGTATTTGAACATGGCTGTCCCAGCAGAGACCCTCAGCTGCAGTCCCCTCTGTGCTCTGCAGTATGTTCCWGTCTCCCAGTGGGACTCTGTGAGTTCCATTTCTCCAGTGTTGTGTGGGAGCCTTTGCTCCTGGCACCCTCGTTCCGTAGGGAATGTGTCCCTTGACACCTCAGTATGAGAGAGGGAGGGATGGGGAAGTGGGAGAGAAAGGATTTGACTCCGTAAAATTCACCTTCAGAGCAGAGACACAGAATCCATGGCTTCCACAGGCTGTTCTGCACAGAGGTGAGTTGCAAAAAAGGTTTGTGCAGCGTCAGGGCCCTTGAGCTGGTCAGGGTTTGGTGTCCTGCCTCAGTTTCCCCTCTGTGAAAGGGACCTGGATTGTCACATGCTGTCTGCTCGGAGCAGGAGCATGAGGATCTGTTAGTGCATTGGTTGCAGAGAGCTCTGCAGCTGTAAAATGCAGTATAAATGCCAAGGATTTATAAACGGGGAGTGGTTGGGATGCTCACAATGGGCAGGAGCTTCCCTGTCAGCATGGCTGTGTCAGGGAAGCTTCCAGTCCCCCTCTACCACTGTTCCCAAGAGTGGAAACAGCTGCAGGCTTCGGGCTCTGCCTGAACCCAGCACCATTCTGGGACTTTACCTCACAAATTCTCACAGCTGTAGTGAAACACCACAATGCTGCCTGGGCCAGGCCAGGCCCCTTGTGTGTGTGTGGGGCTGTGTCACTTGGGCTCGGGTGTGGGGAGGATGGACCTGGGATGGGCTCAGTTTTCCTTTCAGAATAATGGTGTCTGACCTAAGAAGCGACACTTCCCTGTCTGCAGCTCCTAGTCCCGTGTGTCCTGAGCAGCCTTATTAAAATACTGGTATTCCCAAGGAGGGGTTGTGGGAGCAAATTACTCGGTTTTATTTTACTTTCCTCCTCTTCAGGGTAGCAGAYTTCCCTGGTGCAATAATTCCTTTCAAACCCAAAGGGGAAGAGCATTGGGCTTTCCCTCCCCGTCGCAGGGCTGGCTGGTCCCAAACTTCCCCCTGCTGCCACACTCCACTCCTTTTGCCGTGCCTCAGTTTCCCCGCCCACCCCTCCTCTCCCTACCTCGCAGGGGTTTTGGGAATTACCGTTTCTGAAGCACTTTGAAGCCCTCTGGGGGAAGGCACTGGAGACATGCGTGTGCTGGTCGGAGCCCGGGGATTTGCCCTTCCCAAATCCCCGGTGGTGTCCCCGCCGCGGCCGCAATGCAGGACTCGTGCCCATCACCTGGGAAACTTTTTGCTCTTCCTTCCTCGACAGTATAACAACCCTCAAACTGAAATGTATATTTTTGCTAGAAGTACAAACCTCCAAGTGTTTTTAATAATATAAATAGTGTCCACAAACTGACTTGACTTTAAATAAATCTGAACTAAATATTTAAGAACCTTTTAATGTTCAGCCTTGTCTTTGTGGGATTTCTCTCAGCACCTGCAGGGCTGTCCGTGGGAGGATTTCCAGCATAGGCGATGGGATTTGCTGTGATTTCCAGGGATTTGCCATGATTCCTGGCAATTTTGAGATCTCGTAGCTGCTGTGGTTTTCCTGCCCACAAACCTAAAACAGTAGAAAGAGCCAATCCYGAACAGGATCCCAGCCCCAGATCTGAGTGCTTCCCACCCCAAATACTGGGGGCGGAGCTGCAAATGAGCTGAAAACATCCCGAGATGGTGAAGAATGAGCTCCAGGGCGTTCACGTGCTGGCAGCTGGCCCTGCCCTTGGCTCTGGTGTAACACCTGAGAATTTGCAGGGAGCAGCTACAGACCCCCAGGCTCCGCTGTGCCCGCCTGGAGTGCCCTGGGAGGAGCTGCTCTGTTGTTCCTGACTTTTCCGTGCAGCCGGGAGCTCTCTCCCTTCCCAGTGGGGTGGGGGAGACACTGAGAAAGAAGTGAAACTCACCGGCTGAGGTGAAGACAGTTTAAYAGGATTGAAAAGAAAAGGGGAATAGTAATAATAAAAGGAGAATATACAGAATTTAGTGATGCACACTTGTACGAAAATCAGGCCGTGAAAAGTCAGTGTCCATAAAGGAGTCAGGAGTGCTGCAACTTTATTCGAATAAAGGGAGACARTCCACTGGGGCAYRTGCCCGCGGGGTTTTCTCTCTCGAGGTTTCAGAAGGTGCAGCCTCCTTTTAACCGAGACTTTCGGCCGCATTTTGCATTCTTTCTTTCCCCATCGGCCGAGGTACGAGGAAGGTACAGCCTTYCCCCWAATCTCCTAAATTCARGTTTGTTCGGACCCTGTTTCASGAGTCAAAACTRTYTGGGCTCTGTAACAAACGAGCGGCTGGAAGTTAGCACAGACATCAAGACCCATTTCAAAGGCGTTCACACCCATCTCATCACCCATGGAATTGTTTGCAAAGACATTGACACCTATCTTTGTTATCTGGAGCGGTGCCCCCGCGCAGGCTCCCAACTGCAGGAGCTTCAGAGTCCTTGACTCAGTGTAAACTGTGCTCACACACTGGGCCGCTATCAGCTAGCCTGGACTTGTCCTCCGCCCAAAACACGTGTCCCCAGCCAGTAGGAGAGAATTATCCCAGCCGGACCCAGGCCACACTGCGGCCATAAATAGCCCCCTGGGAAGCGGCCCGGCCTCCACACTGCTGGGGAAGAGATGGAGGGAGGCTCGATGATGGCATCTGGGGCGAGCTATCCGAGGCCCCTGTGCAGGTAAAGGCTTGCGGGTGGGACGGCTGCGAGCAGATTTTGGGGGAAGACAGGCTGGAGATGGGGCTCCTCTCTGTGGGGGCAGGGAGGGGATTGGGATGGCCTTRACCCCTCCTTCCCCAGCCATTTCCCCATCCCCCCTCTGGAGCTGGGGGTCACGGCAGCACTCCATTCAGACCCCCTTTCTTGCCAGCCCCCAGCCAAGAGCTCTCGCTCTCCTCCATGCCCCAGCCCTCGGTATTTCTCCATGCTCCCCCCATCCCGAGGTGAGCCCCCAGGCAATCCCTGTGCCGGGCTTCCTTTGCTTTAATTAACCGGGACGTCAGGCTGGATGGGGCTCCCCTGGGCTGTCCTTGGCAAAGTCTCCTGAGCCCAAACCCCAGCCAGGGGGGCTTCCAAAAATGTCCCCACACAGACAGAGCTGGTAGGGGGGATGGGGGGGGGGATATTAGGGCAAGGTTTGGAGCAGGGTTTGACCCCAGCCATGTGGCTCCTCTGGCTAACAGGTATTTTGCCCGTGGATCCTGTCCCTGGGGCCAGAGCTGCCTCTTCTCACATGACAGGAAATCGGCCCAGGTCTGCAGGTACTTCCAGCGTGGGTTTTGCCGATACGGAGAGCAGTGCCGGTAAGGATGGGGCTGTCACGAGGGGCCTGATGCCRTGAGGAAGGGCTGGGAGCCTAAAGGAGTCGTGCTGGACTGATGGGACCCTTTGTCCCTGTGCTTCTCCAGTTACCAGCACATCCAGGAGCAGTCCCAACACCACCGGGGCCCAGAGCCTGGCACTGAGCCCCCAGCCATGACCCRGGACTGCGGGGGAGCCCAGAGCACCTCGGTTGACCCTGCTCACAGCATCACATGTATGGCCTTCAAGTTGCCAAAAGTGGAGGTTGAAGTGGAAGAGAAGGACAAGAAGAACATCCCAACAGTTGGTAATGTCCCCAGTGGGGTCATCAGTAGAGAATTTGTCCCCACAAAAAGCTTGGGGTGCCTCAGATGGGTGCTAGGCTGCCCAGGGACCAGTGAGGTGAAGATACTGAGGTGGTGATGGTGGAGCAGCCTGTGCATGTTTCTGCCCCTGACCCAAGCCCAGGCCAAGCTGGGGCTGTGCAGAGCTCTCTGATGTGGGGACTGTCACTGCTGAAGCTGCATGCTCTGAGCAGCCCGCCCAGCTCTCTGATGATGGGGTGGGATGTGCTTTTCTCCTCTTAAGAACTCCCCTCCTGCAGATTTCCAGCCACAAGGAGCAGCACTGGATCCAGACTCCTCTGACCCCATAGACGCAGTTGTGCATTCGGCGACAGGGACTGACCCTGCAAAGGTGTGTTTGGGGTGTCCCACAGCCAGGCCCTCCCTGTCACCCTGTGTTGCTCCCCAAGGCCAGCACAGTGACAGAGCCAGGGGGTCACCACGCCGCGCTGCTTCTTGCAGGTCCCTGCAGAGCTGGGCGCTGCAGCAGCCYTGATCACCCCAGCAGCACTGAGAGCACAGAGCGAGGGCGTGGTGTGTGGCATCTGCATGGACAGGGTGTAYGAGAAAGCTCTGCCCGAGGAGCGGCTCTTTGGGATCCTCCCCAACTGCAGCCACGCGTACTGCGTGGGGTGCATCCGCAAGTGGCGCCGCAGCCGGGACTTCCAGAGYGCTGTCATAAAGTGAGCGGGGATGGGGATGTGGGAGGGTGGTCACTGTCCCCTGTTCTGCACTCCGAAATCCTTCCTTGAGTCTGGCGATGTGGCTTTGGGATTGGTGTGGCTTTCCTTTGGGAACAGGCACTTGGGAGTGCTGATGGGGATGGGATGCTGGATGAGCCCGTGATCCCTGCTCCCTTCTTGGAACACCCATCTGCACCCATCACCCTCTCCCAGGGCCTGCCCCGAGTGCCGGATTGCCTCCAGTTACTACATCCCCCACAAATACTGGATCACAGATGGGGCTGAGAAGGAGAAGCTCATCAGCACCTTCAAGGCACGGACGGGGTGAGTGCACAGATGGGGTGAGTGGGTGGCACCACTGCGGGCAGCAGGGCTGCGGGCTCTGTGGCACTGCAGGAGTCACACTCACAGCTGCGCTTGGAATCCCACAGGAAAATCAGGTGCAAATTCTTCAACCGGGGCCACTGCCCTTTCAGATCAGAGTGCATCTACCTGCACAAGCTGCCTGCCCGCCAGCTGACGCGGCACAGGCGGCAGCAGCCAAGGATGCCCGCTGTAAGTAGGGGTGGCACATCCCGGGGCTGGGTGGGCACCGGGACACCRTGGCTCATCCTCTCTCCTCTGCCACAGGCGTTCATCTTTTCTTCGTCGGAGAGCTCTGATGAGGAGGATGATGAGTGGGCTCTGGAGTGGGCTCTTACCCTGGCCATGGTGGGGACAGAATTTTGCTACTCAAGTTACCTCGATGAGATGTTTCTCCTGGACTTCAGCGATTCTGACTGAGCCGTGGGGGCCACGTTTGGCCTGGGTGCTGCTGGGGGTTGGGACACATCTGTGGGGAGGCGGAAAGGCTCTGCTTTAGACTCCTGCCATGTTTTTGGGGTGACTCCAGGGATGGGATGGGATGGGATGGGATGGGATGGGATGGGGAAGCAAGCTGGCTGGCATTTATCGCTGCACCAGGGGTGACTCAGGGCACAGCCCCCCTGCTCCTGCCCTCACCCCTTTGGTGGTGCCCACTCTGTGCCCGTGAGTGACTCACGGGTGGGGCTGGGCTGGTGCTGGGAGGGTCTGACATMCACGGGACTGGGGTGCCGGGCAGCAGCGGGGTCACTGTTTTAAACTGTTTTTACTCAAATCCGGGAACAACGAAATAAAATCCGCTGTGTAGCTTCATTCTTCCGGGGGCGTCTGATCCGTGGGCTGGGGGATCCACCCCCTGGCGGGGGGAAAGGCGGTGTTTGGGCTGGATTTTAAGGGATATTTGCATAATRAGTTCGTTTGCGCGCGGTCAATTTGCGTTTCCCGGGGGCGGGGCCGGAAGAGGC